ATATGAAAAGTTAGAATTCCCCCTGCAATGTACATCACTTTAGAATTGTTTGCATTTATTGCACTGGCCATTTTAATTCCCACTATCCCAGTCTGGATAGATCCTCTTGTAGCTAATTTGCAAATCCATTTTTCTTCTTATAAACCTGAACAATTTGGTGTCAACAGCAAATCTGGTGACCTCACTGCTCACCCCTAACCCCAGGTTATTTATGAACAAGTTCAAAAGTGGAGTCTTACCAAGAATCTTGGGGGACTTGGCTTTCTACATCTCTCCATTGGGAGAACTGTCCATTTATTCCTGAGAAGGGAAGGTGACCTTCATTACTTCATGAAAAGCAGCGAAACTTCAAACACTCAGGGGACTCTTCTGAGAAGCTTTTCTTGGTCACTCCTCCCTGTTCTTTAACCAGTTACTGATCCATAAGAGGACTGCCTCCATAGCTGGTCTCCATTTTATTTCACCTCTTTTTATTGTTGGCTTTAATGTTTTTGGTAATTTGCTCCTCAATTTCTTTTTTAAATCCCTTATTGTTTGCATTCCCCCCCCCCCCAAGGGCTGTGCTCCCTTTGCCAAATGAGAACAAAAAAGGAAGCAAATAAAAAGGAAGTATTTTTCTGAATGAAGCCTTCTCCAATAGCTTCCCTGACTTTCCTCATTAACCACGCTGGCATTAGTGGTATCTCTCCTTATAAACTTGGTTCACTTATCTGTAAGTCTTAACATACTGGTAAAAAGTCCTGAATGTAAAGCTAAAGGCTTGGTATCTTTCTTTTTTTTATTACAGTAAAACTATAGTGAAGTTACTTTGCAGCATTATTTCTGCAGAAAATCCTTTCTTTTGAGTGCACTCCTATGCAGCAAGCCTTGGCATGTACCTCATTCTCGAGATACTGAAAATATGTGAAAATATAATTCAGATAATTACAATTGTATGGTCAAAATGATTTGTTCCTACATGCTGGAGTGGTTGGACTAGGATCTGGGAGACCAGGGCTCATATCCCCACTCAGCCATGAAGCTCACAAAGTGACCTTGGGCCAGTCACTGCCTCTCAGTAAAACCTACTACATAGGGTAGTTGTGGGTATTAAATGAGGAGGAGGAGAACCATGTATGTCAACTTGAGCTCCATGGAGAAAGAGATGGAATAGAAATGCAATAAATAAACTAAAATATCCTATTGTGTTGTCCCTTATAACTGGCTCAAAGGTGCAACTTCCAAAAGCATGTTAAAGAGCAAGTCTATCAAGATAAAATGATGTACATTGTCAGCTATTTACTCAATTACACCCTTGCACATGACACAGTAGTAACTCCAGAATGGTGTATCTGTACAACTGGGACTGAAAAGTTATACTATTTTGAAAATAACCAGGTTTTACTAAGTTGACCACTCAAACTTTACATATTGTAATCTAATGGCAAATTTACACTGCAATCCTAACCATGTTTAGTCAGAGGTTAGTCCAATGGGAACTGGATTCAGTGGGGCTTAGCTTACTCCCAAGTAAATGGGGTCAGGATGGCCTAAGCTGGATCGTGCCAGTAGCTTTGCCACTTCAGAGTAATTTATTTCCAAAGTGAAGCTAACATTAACAAAGCTGTTTACACTGAACTACAACACATTTGAAGTGACTAAACATCATAGCCACATGAAAACAGCAAATGAGGCAAACTATAAAAATTACAAAAGCAAAGCACAAATGTCAAGAGATTTTGCTTTTTGAAAGATCTAAATATTAAAATGTTATGCCCTGCAGCAGAAAAGAATGTATGACCTTGCCGAGGCTTTGCTTCCTTTGTGTATATATTCTGCTCACAAAAACTTTATTAACTTGATACTAGACCATATATTCTACCAAGGCAAACTACTGGAAGTAAGTTAATATGCAGCATATAAATTGCAAAGTATATGCTATTAATTTTCAGTATCAACTACTTTTACACAAAAATATATATAATTCACACATACATCACCTCCTTACTAAATCATCAATATACAAACACCCAGAGGTGTAACAGGGTCCCTTGTGCCCTCACCTGAAAAAAATAGCCTTATCACAGTACCACATTAGAAATTACTAGATTTCACATGACTCAGGTACTCAAAATGTCTGGAGTGAGGGTGAGGCGAGGCGAGGCAAGTAAGTTCCTTATAAGTCCTGTGGGGTTCAGTGGGGTTTACTCCCAGGTACCCTTAATTAAATAGGCAGAAAAAATTGGCATACGGCACGTGGGAGGGAAAACAGCACTTCTGCAGACCATGCATACAGTTTTCTGTGTAACAAGTGTACAATATTATACATTACTGGCCATGGGTGGAGTATCCTGTTTTCTCTCCTCAACACTCAAAGACATTTAGGTCTACACATACACTGTACATACTCATTTTGTTTCATTCATGGGTACAGAGTTTAGAATCTATAACTATCTCAGTCACCTTTTAAATTTTAAAGCAGTTTTCCTCATCTGCTTTTGATATTCACTTTTCCACTTTTTTGAATCTGATGACATAATGGAAAGTGGAAGTGGAAGCAGCTCAGACAAGACTAATGTAAGACGATACAGATATGAAATCAAAATGACTGCAGGTTTTATTCAGATTGAGGTTGGGGAGAAACCCTCCTCCAGAAAGCCTAATTGGGAGGGAGGATTGGTTTCTCTGTATATAATATAAATGTAAGAATGTTATCAAACAGCCCCCACTGGAGGCTTGCAGTGCCACATCACAAACCTGGATTTGAATGAAGTCAGGGCAGGATAGAGGAGCAAATGTGAAGGCAAGCTGCACAACAGCAGCATGGGAGTGAGGAAGGGAGGCACACTGAGAGGCAGAAAGCAGTGGTTTAAAGTTGTGGAAGTTTGAGTAAAGCAGAGATGGAGAAAACTGGGAAGAAAATGGTAACTTTCAACACCAGCAGAAATTTTAGTAAATTAGGGGTGGAAGGTTTAAAGCAGCCACTCCCCCCCACCCCTTTCAGTGTTTTCTCCCTTCTTGTTATCCTGAAACTTATCCCTTTTGCATTCTTCAACTGCCTCATTTGAGAGAGATAAAGGATGTGGAGTCCTCAAATATTCCATAGTACTTTTTTGCAATGTATTTCACTCCTGGTTCTGCATGAAGTTCCAGATTTGATGTAGCAACTTAGAACACGTATTTTATTAGCAAGCACCCAAAATATACACAACATCCATCAACTGAGTTTAACCTTCTCAAACTCAACAACCTAACTCACAAGATTCTGCTCATATTAAAAAAAGAAATGTGATGAAATTAGAACAGCCAGCCTAAAGGTTCAAGAGGCCCTACTCCTTGGACCAGAAACTAAGAAACAAAAATCTTTGCATTAAGACTCTTTTGTGATGGACATTTCTTCTATTTTGGTGGAAAGCTTACAAGTATGCTATTTATAAAATACTTTTTCTTTCAGCACCACTTTCACTTACTGCATCAGAAGGAGCTTCCCAATCTAGATAAATATTGAAACTAGGTAACAAAGGAGTCAACTTCCCATTCACTTCCCATTCATATATTGTCCAGGGAAACAAGAGGCTACTTTGTAAAAGAAAAAGAAAAGAAAACAGAAAAGAAAAAGTCAAACCAGCACACAAAGGCACAGGAAAATACTGTAATTATATTAAGCACCAGTATTTGATGGTAGCAGGAAGGATTATATGTTAAATGCCAAAGATAATGCTCGAGAGTAACTCCTACCTTTAGAAATTCAGAAGACTCCCATGCATCCTCTGTTGCATAAATGTAGAAAGCATTTCTTTATAAATGTAGAATGTATTTATACGTACTATTCTTTCTGAGCTAAAATTTCAAATATTTGAAATAAACCAGGTATGTTTTAGACGTATCTCTTTGTAAGTAAAAGTAGCTAATTGTTTCTGACGTGTCATTTACGTATGATTGAAAAGCTGCAGGAGTTCACCATGGAGTTCACCACTGCAGCGATCTTGCACAAAAAAATTGCGGGGAGGCACGGACACGGGGGTGAAGATGAGAACAAGTGTACAGTGGGACTGCATAGGAGAAAGGGTTTTTCAGAAATGGGAGTTGGGATGGTGAAAAGCAAGCTTTAGCAGTTGCATGGGCTTGGGACGGGCTGCGTACAAAAGAGATGCTAAACTGGAGAACTTGTGTGGAACTGCCAAATCCTGTATCATAGGATCCATCTCCTAGGGACCGAGGGGTCTTCTCCCTCCGTAAAACATTTGACGGCTGCCCCCCCCCCCCCAGTTGATGGGCATCTGCGTGCCCGCGTCATGTGCTGAGCGGGGCTTGCTTGCCCCCCCAATATTTCAGTCAAGTTGCCACACCCCTGTCCTGTGTAGTCACCAGGGTGGCCCCCGGCATGACCCTCCATTAATTTAGGGGGCGTGTCTGCACTTGGCAAGTTTTTCCATTTTCAGAAAAACAAAATAGGGTAGGGGGGAGAATAATAATAATAATTTATTATTTATACCGCGCCCATCTGGCTGGGTTTCCCCAGCCACCCTGGGCGGCTTCCAACAAAACACTAAAATTTCTTTTTCTTAAAATTCAATGGAATTTCTTCAGCTACTTCATAAGCACTCAAAAGTTGTCATTATATCCACCCTGTCGTGCTATTTTTAAGCAGCACCTCAGAACAGAGGAGGGACGGCACCCTCATAAGCACGCCCATTGAGAAGACTTGAGTTCAGAGGCGCTTACTCGCAGGTAAGCGGCATTACGGCTGTCCCCTAAGCGGGAGCCCTTTTCCCGCCTCCGTCGCTTGGCGCGAGAAGCGAAGGAACCTAAACGCGCTCGGCGCTTCTCCTTACTGTCTGTTAAAAATTGAACGGCCTTCTGGGTTCCCCATTGGATCGTTTTTCCTGCTCGCGTCATCTCGCGTTCTCCAATCAGAATCCACCGCGCGTCGTTTTAAAAAGTAAATCTGATAAAACGTTGCGCCATATTTATGCTTCCGCGGAAACCATTCGGAAGTAGTCCCCACACAGCCCGCTCCCCCCCGCCCCCCAGAAAGCTCAGTTCAGTGTGGGAGTGGTGAATGGGTAAGGAACATTCTTATATTTTATCGTTCTTCCAGGGCAGGGGACAACTAAGTTAAAAGAAAAGGCGGCAAAGTTTTGCGTGGCGGAGAGATACAAACCTGGAGTGAGGAGAGTTTTACGCCGGAGTTACGGACGTGACGACGTCAGAGCGGGGATTTGAATTAAGTGGGGAGTTAGGCGCTCGCGCGCACGCGGGTTTGTTACTCGGTTAGGACTGTTAGGGGGGGAGAGAAGGGGAGAGCGAGAGGGTCCTGCGTATCCTCGTGGCGGAGGACGCGCGCGCAGGTAAGGGACGTTCAGCCCGTGTGGGGAACGGGGGGGGGCACGACCCAGACTCTTATTGCGGGGGGGGGGGGAGAGAAGTTGGCAGTGGGGGAAGGAGCATTCGCTGCCCACGGTGCTAGGGCTTGTTTGGGGGCGAGCGGTTGCGCCGGCAAAGCGAGTGAGTTGGTCCAACGGCCTCTTCTTTTTAAAAAGCGTCCCCTCTGTGCTGTTCGTAGGAGAGAGAGAGACGTTGGGAGAAATGAGGGTGTCATTGAGGGGAATCAATCAGTGAGATTTGGCGGCAGGGGTCCCTTTACCTTTGCCTTTAGTTTTTCCCCTTAGAGCCTTCACAGCCAAGGCCGGATTTAGGTTTGATGAGGCCCTAAGCTACTGGCGGTAATGGGGCCCTTTATATGTCCAGCTGTCCTTTGTGTGTTGAATATATGCTATATGGTAATTTATGGACCTAATAGGTATTTAAAGCCATTTGCCACTGTTGCTGTATATAGGTTGTATTTGTTTTTTTATCTTATAGTTTGGAAATGTACATGCAGTTTTCCCCCCCTTTAATTTTCTTTTGGGCCCCCAAGAGAGTGTGACCCTAAGCTATAGCTTGTTTAGCTTATACGTAAATCCGGCACTGTTCACAGCACAGGCCTGGCTAACTTGGTGGTGAGAGCTGCGAATACCGGTAGGTGGTTTCCCCTCGCATTAGACCACTGTTTTGTGAGGAACGGGGCATCTTCACAAGACTAGTCGCGAGGTATGTTTGAAATGCGCGCCTTTCTCGCCTTTCCGGAGCGCGCTGCATCCACAGAGTATCTCTCTTATGGAAAATCGGGTTCCAGCAAAATGCTGCAGGGTGGCTTTGTACAGAATAAATATTCGTAGTCGGACTACAACTCCCATCAGCCTCAGCCAGCATAGTCTGGCATGATGGGAGTTGTAGTACAGTAGAACAGTTTGGGGAGGGGGCACTTCGTTGGCTACATCTGATTTAACTTGTTTGATTGTATCTTTTGGGAACAATTGCATAACTAAGTTGGCAATCCTAGCATACCTGACTTTTCAATGTCTTTGTTGCTTATTCTGCTGAAACTTTTTTGCTTCATGTAATTCTGTTGAGACCATTTTAAATTAAATGAGTTTTCTACAGAACATGGTACTTCTACTTAAAAAAAAGTGCCACCTGCCTCTTTGCTGTGGTTCTGTATAAAAATATCGTAACTATGTTGGTATCCATATCACACATTAATGTATCTACAGTTACCATCCTAAAGTTTCTGGGTTGTTGTTTTTTTAAAAAAGAAAATGTTTCTGAAGGAAATGTACTTGTTAGTAAACCTTCACATGAGGTGGAAACATGGAACAAAATAGTTGCAAAGCCAGACTATTCTTCCAGTTGTGTATGCAGATGAAGCTGTTTCACAAAAAGCAGCAACTGCAATATTCAAATATGTATTTATAATGCCTGTAGGCTTGTTCACATATAACCATGAACACAATAACAGGCTGTTTCATTGTAACTACAACTGTTTTTGTGAAAGCGTAGTTGCTGATTTGTACAGCTCCTCTATTGTGTATACAGATTGTAAAAGTTATTGCTTTGACAGTACTGTATGGGGTAGACAGTAAAATAGATGCATTTATATATCTGTATAGTACAGTACCTGGAAATCAGTTAGTGATTCACATGAGGAGGAGACATGTGGTTTCAGTGTCCTATGGATTCAAGTTAAACTGCTCATGTACATGACAGACTTTCTCTGACAAATTATTGGAATTGATTAAGAGGACTAGAACAACTTTATATGTAGAATGATTAAGAGCATTGTTAGTGGATTATTGCATACATACTACAAATAGGCCAGTTGCTATGCAGAAGAATAAATTTAATCTCATCAGAAATTACAATATTAAAAAACTGTTGGGGGGCAATTCCAGTCTCCCAGGACATTGTAAATGATAACAAACTTGCTGTCCTGTAATAAGGATACTTTATTCAGACTTGCAATGTGAAACTATATATCAAGAGTTTCCTTTTTTCACTTGTGGGCTGAAGTAAGGCAAATATCTTTTTTTATTTATTAATTTAAATGAAGTTGCTAAGATGGTATACAATCAGTGTTAGAAATTCATATTTATTTATTTTTTTGCAAGACAGCTCTAAAGTCTTATTTTTCAAACAATGGGCTGTGATCAGTTAAACATCTGGATAGTTCAGATGACAACCTTGAGCTTTTAGAACTTGAAGAAGAAAAGTCCACATGTATATTGGCTTATTCCAACTTATTCATAATAAAAAACAGTAGAACATCCATCATTAAACTAGCAATATAACACATCTTATAACTCAGCAACAGTAGGAGCAGTTGATCTCCAAATGCCAAGCAGAGTAAATGACATAAAGACACCAGCAAAGAGGACCAACGTATTTCTAGTGGAAGGCAATTCTGTAATCGGGGAGCCATAACACAGAAGCCATAACATGAGTCCCTTCCAGAAGCAGGATGCTGGAAACCACAGAATGGGATGGTGCTGTTGTTCTCAGGTCCAGTTTGTGGGTTTCCCACAGGCATCTGGGTGGCCACTGTGAGAACAGGATGCTAGATTAGGTTGTCAATAGGCCTGAAGGCCTGATCCAGCAACGGTCTTGTTGTTTGAGTCTTGGTTTTAAATAGAACTATAAGAAGGACCTTTCTGTCAGATCTCAAAGCACAGGCTGGCATATAATGGGGAAAGGTGCTCTTTTAAGTATCCAGGCCATGCAGGACAATACACTAAAGTGAGCACCTTAAATTGGGCAAACACGTAACCAGCACAACTGTTTCAAGAGTGCTGTCACAATATTGTATCTAGTTTTGCTACTGAATAGTGAGGTGGGAGCATTTTTGCACTAATTGGAACTTCTGAACTGGCTTCAAGGGCAGCTCTATGTAAACACATTGTAGTACTAAATGAAATGTTAACAAAACATACAAGTTAATTGGCATACAAATGTCAGGATGTCTATTATTCACAACTGATTCTGTGAACTATCATTGTTATTTATGTAATTTTCACTGTCTCTATTTTCCCTGCATTCTTTCTGGCCTTTCTGGTTACATTATACCCATCCACCCCAACAGCACCCATGTGTGCAATATTTTGACAGTTGAGGATCTCACTCTGTGCATCTGATGAAGTGCACTGTATTCCATGAAAGCTAATGCCATAATACATTCATTAATTTTAAAGCTGTCTTGTTCAAATTACTTGTACGTCTATGACTTTGATCATGTTACTGAGAAATGACTTGAATTTTTTTTAGGAGCTAGTGTTAATGAGCAGCAAAACAGTATACGTGTACAAATAGTACACTTGTATGTGGCTCCTGTATTATATAATGTAATTTGCATTATATGTTGTAGCTATAGACCTGATAAGGGGCTTTTACATACAGTTTCATGATAATCTGGGTTTAAGAAAAGTGTAAGAAAATTGTAATTCTCTTGGTGTATTGTCTTAATAGAAAGGTGCTCATCATATATTCTAATTAGGTAAAGTTTTATTGAGTTCTCAATGTTCAATCCTTACAGGTAGGAATTACAGATGAGAAAATGCCACTTTTTGGGAAAATTGTTGTCATTAAAAAGAATGGGAGTGATGGAACTCATTTTCCGCTGACTAGAAACTCTTGTTTGTTTGGAAGGTAAGACTTATTTATTGGAAGGTATTTTGAAATACAGCTTTTGAATGTTGGAATTTAATTGTCTGAACTGTTCTTTTCACAAAGTGAAACAGTAAAATCTTTGCTACAGGAAACTCCCATTTACACGGAGGTTACATTCCAAGGCACCATATATTTAAGTGAAATTACGTATATTGGGGCACCATTGAAAAAGCCTCCAAACACCTGTTAAACCTCTAGAAACGCTTGAAAAAAAGCCAAAAATCCACCCAACTCCACAATCACTCTCCAAATCTACTTTCTTAAACTCTCAACTCTCCATAGGTGTAAAAGGCTCCTGGGACTGCACTTGCAAAGGCTAGACTCCATTTTTGCTGTTTTCGCTCTTTTAGGGCTGTATTTGCCCCTTTTTGTGCCCCTTCTGGGGATGTGCGCATACCTGCTTGCAATTTAAAACAGCAAAACTTAAGATGTCAATAAATTGTCAACATGCCTAAGCCCTGCATCAACGTGCACATTTTAGGTTTGCACACTGGTGTAAATTTGACCTTTTTGAGAGCTAGTAGATAGGAATTTGTCTTTACTTTTGGGTTTAAATTTAATTTTTCTTCACAGTTTTGAAACTCTCAAGTGAAGCTATAATATTTTTGTGAGCAAAAATTGTTAATAGCATGCTTTCAGTGGGTCAAATGAAAGGAGCAACATTCACTTGCTATTGGAGATATAAGCATCTTTGCTGTTCTCGAATTAATGTCTCGGGATTGTCTGCTTCAAGTTCACCGTACATAAGTCAATAGAGAGAGCTCTTTTTCAACTTTAGAGAAATTTTTGAATTGTACAACCTGCTCTGAAAGGTTGAACTTTACTAACTCCAATAGTTATTCAATCTTTCTGTTTTACATAAGCAAGCGATATCGGCAACATCTATGTTTATCATTTCATATCTTTGGAGGGTTTTATTGGGTGCAGGTGTTGCTCTGGTTTAGAGTATCTTTTCTCCAAGTATCTACGTGAATAGGTATCAGTGGCCAAGTGCATATTTAATGAAGGCAGGGGAAAGTTTATGGCAGAGGTAGCCAACCCACAGCCTGTGAGCCATATATAGTTCCCCAGGAAGTTTTTTGTGCCCTCCCTTTGCAACCTTCCAATTTGTCCATTAAAAAAATACTATTTCTTCATCGACCAGTTCTACAGGTCCCCTGTTCTGATCCATAAAATGTATTCTTTCTTATGTATATATTTATATTTTACAGAATTTAATAAATAATAATAGCTTATCAAAAAAGGATTTTAAATAGTGTTGATAGAATATAAAAGCTTTTTGAAGGCAGCTTGCGAACTGCAATTCTAGCCATGGACACATTTACACTTTGGGCATGCTTGCTTTGGCATGCAAATATCACGGTTCACCCTGGACCAGTGTGGCTCTAGACCCTGAATTGATTAGCCATCTCTGGTTTATGGCATGCCAACAGTAAAAATTAGTGGTTTTTTCAGTTAAAACAAGTTCAGTTTTCATAATACTACATAGTTTGTCTTTATAGTTTTTCTAATATTTGAATAGTAGCATTATGGCATTTTATATATTAAAAAAACCCCTTTATTTCTGCGTAATATACAAATGTTAATTTGAAAACTGCATGATTATATTTAAAGGAAAAGAGAGTGTGACATCAGAATTCAGCTGCCTCAGGTTTCCAAAGAACATTGTAAAATCGAAGTCAATGAAAATAAGGAGGTATGCATTCTTATTTTTTTTGTATTGATTTGTTGTGTGTCTCTTGGACCTTTCTTATTTGACTGAGCTGAATATTTTTAAATCTATTTTTAGGCAACTTTGTTTAACTTAAGTCCTGCAAACCCAACAGAACTCAATGGAAATATTTTTCAGCAACCTACATACTTAAAGCATGGAGATGTATTCACTATTATTGATCGTTCTTTCAGGTAGGTAACAATGCTATACACAGCTATGGATCTACTTAAATAAAATTACTCTTGTCACGTTGCCTAGGTTGGGTCAAGTCATTGGAATTTTTAATGAGTTTATTTTATGTTCAGGCAACTCCTTTGTGCAGGGGTTGCATTTTGAGTCATATTGTGTGTAAGGCAATTCCATCCCCTTCTGGGTCAGAAAATGGCATGCATGGAAGGCCACACATCAATTGGATGCGTGCAAAATGGTCGCCACCTGTATTTCACAACTTTTATATACTGCTTGATTGTAGTAAAGCCTCTTAAGTGGTTATAAAAAAGAATACGTTAAAATTATCAGTACAAGACAGTTAAAAACAGGTATTTAAAAGCATTCAAAAAGATAATTAAAATCATCAGTAAGCAAAGGGAGATTAAAATGCATCATTCAACTTGTCTGCGTAGGCTAGCCTAAACATGTTTTAAGCAGGCATTGAAAATACTACAGTCAAGACTCCTATCTTATATTAGTAGGTAGAGAGTTACAAAGTGTAGGTGCTGCAACACCAAAAAATTGTGGTTTTGTAACTGCGGAATGAGTATTATGTTGTGCTGTGTCAGTTCTGCCGATTGAAGTGGTTGATAGGGAATATATGGGGTAAAGTAATGCCACAGGTAAAGTGGTCCAAAACTGTTATGGGTTTGTATACTAATAGTGACACCATGAACTTAGCCTGGTAACAAATTGGCAGCCTGTGTAGATATCTGAGCAGAGGTGTTATATGTTGACAGAATCCCAATCATTTCAGCAACTGTATTGCAGCATTCTGCATTAACTGCAGTTTCTGGTCAGTAAAAGTGAAGCTTGCTTACATACAGTGCATTGTAGTAATTCAGCTTTGAAATCATTAATGCATGAACTACTGAGGTTACCTGGGCCTCCATTGACAAAGCTGGATCCAAAAGCAGCACCGAATTGCATACTGGCTAATTCAGGTGAAGTGCAACCCCATCCATGGCAAGTAATTGATCAGTTTATTGCACATGGGATCCAGACACCTATAGTGCCTCCACCTTGGCAGGATTCAACCTCAGCTTACTTTCCCTCGTCTGTCCCACCACTGTGTCCGGGCACAGGTCCAGGCTCCATGTGGCTTTGTATAGATTTTAAATAGCACTGGGGGATAGAATTGTACCCAGGGGTACTCCATAACATAACTGTCAGAGATTCATAAAGCACTCTCCCGGCGCTGTTCTCAGGACTGCAGGAATGGAACCCCAGTAACACAGTGATACCAGTGTCCATTCCACTGAGTCAGTTCAGGAGGATACTACAGGAAATGGTATTGAAAGCTGCACAAGAGTCAAGAAGCAGGAGCAAGGTCACAGTTCCCTTGTCCTGCTCTCTGTAAAGGTCAGGTCTCAGGCAGCCAAAACTGACTCTGTCCCATAGCCAAGCCTGATCCTAGAACTCATCTCCTTTATTCACCTCCCTGACTGTTTCTCAATTTGTTGCTACTTACACTTCTTGTTTGGCTCTGACTGTTAAGGCTGGTGCTTTCTTTGCATTATCCAGCCCAAAGAGTTTTCAACAACTGGTTTGCAGCCAGGGTATTTAGCTCATCAGTGGGATAAACAAATCAATATTAAGCCTACCTAATACCTTTAAACAGGTTTGAATATCCACCTTCATTACTTCCACGGAAGAGGAGTTCCAGGTCTCAAGAGAATGAAACATTACAGGTAACTTCATGAATACAATGAAATGTACCTTTGCATTTTGCTGGACTGAATGAAATGTGTAGCTATAGGTTTCCATATTCCCAATCTTCTTAAGTGGGTTTTTTACCTGCAGATGTAGTGTCTCCCTTTTTTATGTGTGGATGGCAACTGTATTCACAGAAACGTTTTAATGCTAGCACTCTTCTCTCCAAAGTACTATATTACTGAGAATGTATGCTTTTAATAGATGTTTTGGAAGCCTTCTTTTCACAGCACATTTTCATATCTTATTTTTTAAATGATTATGCAAGAACAACTGTATTCAAAGATGATAGATTATTTTCAGGATAGCTATTACTCCTAGTTTAGGGGGTGAAGATAAATAAACAGCTGAAGCTTTTTCTTAAGAATAAATGGAACTAGGCTAGAGGTGGTGGGTTCTAGTGAAATCTACTCAGTTAAATTATTCGATACCATATAAATATTTACTTCAAAAATAAACCAATGAATACTTTCCATAGGCACAATTTTGTGAACTTCTAAGACAAATAAAACATTCATTGCTCTGATACATTGTGTACAAATTTACAGGTTCTTCATATTCAGCAGGAAGAACAGGAGTTGTTGCACCGTCGGAATTCAGAATCTAAAAGTCCTCAGATTTCTGGTTGGTAGTTATTTCATCTTATTTACCACTGTTAGGCCTTGAATGGCAAGAAAATGTAAAGCTACATAAACAGATACGTAGTAGTTGAAATCAAAGCATTTACTGGGATTCTGCTGTAGGAGGGAACAGATGAAGCAAGATTTGGAGAATTAGTTTTTCCTGTAGGGATGAATGTGATCCTTGATATGGGTTGTTTCCACCCATCTCTCCAATGACAGGAAGCAAAATATTTTAGAGAATACACCTTGTGGGCTGAGAAAACCCCTTCCAGTTCTATTTCCTGCCAGTTCCACTGCAGGTTGTATTGCCAGCTGCTACGGGCATGGCAAAAGAGAAGAAGTGGGAACCGATATTCAGACAGCCACTTTTTTTGTTTGCTCTGGATTATGATTAGAGTTCACAAGCAGATAAATCTTAAATTTATATTACAGATTATGCTGATGTTTGTCAATGTACATATGTACACACACAGAGGGGGGGCTATTGCATACAAGGATAAGTTTTAAGAGTCCATTCACTATGGGCATGCTATTCTTAGTATCGGTTGCAAAGTAGCTTCATATGAGTGCATTTGGGAATGTCTGAGCTGTATGTTCAGGACTTTTATGTTAATCTTATTTTCTATGTAGAAGCAGGTGTTGTTGATTTTACTTAATTCCTCAAAAATATATTTGCCCTATAATCAGAACCTTAACTGACTATAGAATTTGGTAACACTGTTTCATCTAACTTAAGCATTATACCAAAAATAGAAACACTTTTAAAGAACACATTGTTTAAAAATGTATTCTTTTAAAAATCTCTTCTTAGAAAAGAAACTTGACTGGGAAAATCAGAATACTAATGAAAGTGACGAGACAAAAATTCAAGAATTTATTACTGGACAGTATGGCACACCGCAATCTACATACAAAACCTTCAGTTCAGAAAGGAAAAACGAAATGTCTCCTTTTAGTGAACTTTATGAATTAGTGAAGCACGAACCTGATACAAAAATAGCAGAGGAAGATTTTAGCAATGAAACATTTCTGCAGTCAAAAGAAGAACACTTAGCCAGAAAAGATGGTAATGATACCTTGGAAGAAGCTGCATCTCAGATACCACACAGGATATCTGAAACTGGTCAAACTAAGAAGACTGGAGGTGTAATTTGGAATGAAGTTGAACATTCTCGTTATATTAAAAGTCAAGGAATAAACAGTGTGATATCAAATCTAAGATCTGTTGAAAGGAACAGATCCAAAAGATCATCTTTGGGTCTTCAAGGTTATGCTGCAGAACGAAAGCAAGAAAGTGAAGGCACCAATCAGTTAAATTTCCAGAAAGCAGAAGAGAATGAACTAGATGGAACTGAAGGGATTAAAAATGCAAGTAATGATACAAATCTAACAGCAAGTAGACAAAGTGCAAAGTATTTCCATGAATCATGTTCCATAGTATCATTGGAACCTGCAGATAGAGCAGGGCGCCCTGAAAAGTCAGAAGAAGAGCCAATAAAGACAGCTGATGTGGAAATCAAAGCTAACTTAACAGATACTTGCAGATCGGTTGAAAGCATTTTGTCCATACCAAAGTCTAATAAAGAGAGTTTTCAAACTTATTCTAGTCCACGTTCTAGAAAATCTAGACGTTCTTCAAAATCTAGAATGCAACAGGTAGATTCATTGATTGAACTGAAGAATTCCACAGAAACCTCTTCTGAAATTGAAGAGTGCTCAATGAATGGTAGTGCAGCGGAGCCTGATTTTATTGCCTTGACAGAAAAGTTTTTTAAAATAAAAGGCAAGAATGAAGTGCTGGCCATAGAACCAATACAAACTCTGAAAGCAACAAATGAGATTTGTATGAACAACACACAAAAAGATAGAAACTCTGGAATCATTGCCTATTCATTTCGCTGTCGTAACAGTAAAAGCCCCCGGAGGAGCATTAAGCAAAATGAAGACTTTTTAAATGGGCATTTTTCTACAGAGCAGATGCATATCAATTCAGAGGAGTCATTAGAAGTTCCTGTAGATACTTCTGGAACAGGTTGCATGTGCACACCTAACCAGCCACCTGAAAAAGAGGGAAACTGGCTCCAGGAGGAGGAGGATGATAAAATAAAAGAACCAACGATGAAGGCCCACAACCAGAGTTTTGATAATAAACACTATATACCAGGTCATGAAAATAATGTACCAGTGCCAGCAGAGGGTGAGACTGCTTCAGAACTGAATGCAGCAAGCGCATTTACTATAAAAAGAAAGTCAGGTAAATACTTGCAGTACAAGCCTAAGACTATCAGTTTGAGATTGTTTCAGAAATTTGTCGTGACTTTTTCTTGAACTTGTAATTTTGCTCTCTTTATGTAATTTTATTCGAAGTCTGTTGGTTATTCTATTTATAAAACTTGTATGAATACCAAAGGAATTTGGTTACTACAATTAAGAGAAGTACAGTGCACTAAAAATAACCCCAACAGATTTTTCTCAATTTTTATCTCTTACTAGTTCTGTTTTTAAAATCTTACTTTAACAGAAAGTATCCTTACTATTTTGATACTGAAGTGTCATCATACACTCATTTTCTGACACTATCAGTCTTGTATTTAGGTCCAAGAGACCTCTTTAAGGGCATACTGGGGCGGGGGGGCGGGGATGATTTACTTCAAAGTGACTATGGTTTAAAAGAAAAAATAGGTTTCTGTTGGTATCACATTCCAAAAGAGTTTAACACAAAAACTATTCGGAATATGTGACCTGACAGTGTTAAGAAAAGAGAAAGCAAAACAGAAACAAATGCCTAAGTTTCTGTTAGGGGTCTTCTACTGGAGTGCAGTAGAAGGCTTTTCAATATAACCCAATAGAACATTACAAATATGAAATCAGTATTGCAGATTTTAACTATGAGTATGTCTTCTGTCAGGACAAAACAAACCTGGAGCAGAAATAACCCCCTAGACCAGGGGGCAGCAAAATGTTTCAGCAGGGGGCTGGTCCACTGTCCTTCAGACCTTGTGGGGGACCGGACTATATGGAGGGGGGGAGAACGAATTCCTATGCCCCACAAATAACCCAGAGATGCATTTTAAATAAAAGCACACGTTCTACTCATGTAAAAACACCAGGCAGGCCCCACAAATAACCCAGAGATGTATTTTAAATAAAAGGACATATTCTACTCATGTAAAAACATGCTGATTCCCGGACCATCCACGGGCTGGATTGAGAAGGCAATTGGGCCGGATCTGTCCCCTGGGTCTTAGTTTGCCTATCCATGCCCTAGACTAAAAGTTGATCAGGGGGGTCCAAAAGACCTGCAATCTTTTGTGACAGGTTTTTGTATGCACAGAAAAAAATCTCCAGTGCTCTTGAATTGGTGCAAATACATAAAAGATGAAATTTTAGTTATCACTCCAGAAAACAATGAATTAACAATAAATAATATTCAAATTATACTGACACTCAGTATGTAGTAACCAATTCACAGAAGAAAAAAATACCTTTTTCATCACTTAACTGTATCTTCTTGGTCATTATATCAGTTTCTGTGATGTTCCTTATTTTAGCCAACTACAAGTTTGAATGGGATACCTCATTCTCCATTTGGTTCTAATAATAATATTTGTTCATTATTATTGTTTATTAGCAAGTTCCATGTCAGCTTAAAGTATTTCATATAACCTAAAGCATCATAATTGCAGGTAAACGTACAAAATACCTCAATATCAAGGCAATTTGAAAACTTATCTTTTTACATGTTTTTGGACAAATCCAATAGATTTCATTAATTAGTCTATCCCTGCTATCAAGTAATCCTGCTTATTTAACATAGTAAACAAAAATCAACAACAGCCTACCTTTACATTCTGAAACCACCAAACCTCTTGCCGATCATGAGGTCAGCAGTTTGAATCAGTGCTATGGGGTGAGCTCCCATTGCTCTATCTCAGCTCCTGCCAACCTAGCAGTTCAAAAGCATACAAGCGCGAGTAGTTAAATAGGTACCACTGCAGTGGGAAGGTAAATGGCATTTCCATGCTCTCTGGCTTCCGTCATGGTGTACCATTGCACCAGAAGTGGTTTAGCCATGCTGGCCACATGACCTGGAAAAGTTGTCTGCAGACAAATGCTGGCCCCCTCGGCATGAAAGCGGAGGTGAGCGCCGTACCTCATAGTTGAAGTCAACTGGACTTAACTGTCCAGGGGTCCTTTACTTTTACCTTTTACTCCCTTTGTGATTGGAGCTAAATATTTATGTTGGAATTCAGAATAACTTTCTTCTGTCTTTCTTTTAGATAAATTACCTAAAATGAATCAACCTTCTGATTAGCTTTGTAAGTTGGTATATTGAATTTGGTATGTTTTGCTCTTTTGTAGAAATTAAGAAATCACCTAAAAAGCGGAAGGACGAAGAACCTGACATATTAATTCAGCCTCTTGGAAAGAGAAAGAGGGTGTCCTTTGGTGGGCACTTGAGTCCTGAACTGTTTGATAAACGCTTACCTCCAAACTCACCACTTAAAAGAGGTGCAACTCCAGCGCGACTGAGCTTGCCATTTGGAAACTCGCCTCGAGCGGTTTTGAAATTTAGACAGTCTCGAATCAAGGTAAATAATTTTCTGTACTGAAATGCCTCAAAAGCACCCAGATGAAGTCTTCTGCTTCTCATTCTTCCTGTGTGTGTGTGTGTGTGTGTGTGTGTGTGTGTGTGTTTCTAACAATCCTGTACATGCATACTTAGATATAAGTCCCATTGGGTGAAATCCAACATTGTGTAAGAAAACTCCTTCCCCTGTTGCTCTGTATGCCCCCCCCCCCCGCACCAAATCTCCAGAGGGTCCAAACACTTTGAAGCAGGATTGGTGGACACATGAGAGCTGGGGTGCAGGGAAGAAGGCCCCCTTGAGAGTAAATTTGTTCTAATGCCACAATATAATTGGATATTATCCATTCCTTCCAATGGGGTTTACAAGTAAGTAGGTATAGGATCCCTGCCTAAAATTTCTTAATTCAGAAGTTGTCAGGGTAAATGAAGTGTCCTTGAGACAGGTTTATGATCTTGAATGCAGAGAAATATTATTTCCAGTGTGGATTGAGCAAGTTCCAGTTGCTTGACCATTTGCTTGAGAGGTCTTGCTCCCTGACAAATGCTAGCAAGGGAAGACTTGTTTCCACCATGGGATGAGTGGGGTCTAGCCCCACTCCCTTGTTTTCACCTGCTGTACAATAACTCTCTTGAGAACTGGCATTTTTATTAAAAGTTGGATTATGAGTAAAAATAAATAAAATTGCAGCAAGGGACAACATGACTCCATCGTGGGTTGGAGCAAGTAGTTTGATGTTACTGTTCTGTATTGTGGTTTTTCTATTTAGTAGTTGTAGTTAATGTATTTCGTTTTATCATGTTGTGTGCTGTCCTGTGCTTCGTTTGAGGAAGGCCTCTCAAAGAGAAGTGTTTTATCTTATTTAAAAGAAATGAGCAGAAAAGATGTCTACTTGAATGAATGCAGTCCATTCTCACTGAATAAAAGTTCTTAATTTTGGCTTGACAGTGCCCTTTAAAAAAGGAGGAGGAAAGCTCTCATTTAAGGAGAAGGGCTAGGACAGGTTTGAGGAACCTCTGGCTTGCAGGCCAATCTTGGCTTGACAGGCTTCCCCATTGGCCCACAAGTGAGGGAGGCAGTTGGCCAAACCAGCTTGAGTCGCTTCCGAATCAGCTGGTTGTTGGGAGCCTTTGAAGCAGTGCACAAAGCAGGAACCCAGTGGCTGATGCAAAGCGAAGATGTTCCTACTTGGTTCAGGTGTCATGTCCCTCCTTTCATTTCAGCAACTGGATTTACAAAGAAACAGCTATTGAAATGATGTGGAAAAACACGTTGCTTTTAACAGTGCCTTGCTGCCTGCTAGTGCTTTGAAGTCTTAAATTTGGGGTTTCAGAGCACCAAATCCCTTGACATCATTTGTGATTTCAGCAGGAGGATGGCCCCGCACACTTGTAAAATTTGGCCTGCTAGACTGGCCTGTGGATCCAAAAAGGTTCCTTTTCTCTGGGCTAGGACATGATGTGTGTCTGTGTGGTTTCTTCCTAGGCCTCTTCATGTGTCTGGCCTTCCAGATTTTGGTGGATTATAGTTCTCATCATCATTAACCATTGGCTCTACTCACTGGAGCTGATAAGAGTTGGGCCAGAAGTCGCCAAACTTTGAACCAGTGAGCACATCTTAAATTTGGAGAAAGTGCTGTTCTTACTAATCACAAAATGGCTGCCGCGGGTTGGCTTTTTATTATAAAATAAAAAGTCTGCTAAGTCTAAAAGTATGGAAAAAGAGACATAATTATAGAATGCTGCAGACATGCCACCCCATTAGTGAAGAAAAGAGCACATGCACCAACCACTACTGCATTCTCTCCCGGGAAGAAGCTCTTTATACTTTAATCCTGGCATCCAGTGACATGTGGACATGTTTATAGGTGTAGCTGGCTAAGTGCAAACAAACTGAGCAAGAAGAGCAAGCTATTTCTTACATATTGTAAGTGGTACACTAGATTCCCAGATTCAGGTCTCCTCAGTTTAAGTTCTGCTTATGTGCTATGCCACATTTGATATCTCATTAGAAGTTCTTTGTATTAACTTTAAAAAAAATCCCTCTTCTTTCTCTACAGAGTTTCCCTGAAGGGGTTCAGCATGAGAATAGTTCATCTAAGAATGCTGCCTCACCCTCAGCACGCAGGTCTCCGGTTGCCTCGCCCGCAGCACGCAAGTCTCCGGTTGCCTCACCCGCAGCACGCAAGTCTCCGGTTGCCTCGCCCGCAGCACGCAGGTCTCCGGTTGCCTCGCCCGCAGCACGCAAGTCTCCGGTTGCCTCGCCTCCAGCACGCAGGTCTCCGGTTGCCTCGCCCGCAGCACGCAAGTCTCCGGTTGCCTCTCCCGCAGCACGCAGGTCTCCGGTTGCCTCGCCCGCAGCACGCAGGTCTCCGGTTGCCTCGCCCGCAGCACGCAGGTCTCCGGTTGCCTCGCCTCCAGCACGCAGGTCTCCGGTTGCCTCACCTCCAGCACGCAGGTCTCCGGTTGCTTCGCCCCCAGCCACTTTTTCTTTTGATGCACCCCAAAGAAGAGGTCGCTTTTCAGTTTCTCATGTTACCAGCCCACCCTCAGAAGAACAGGATGCTCTTTCCAGTCAGATGAACGGAGATGAAGAGTTCACTGAAGTAAAGACATCTGAACCTACTGTTCAAGAATGCAAAGCTGCTCGTTCAACAAAGAGGAGCAAAAATGCTACTCCAAGAAGTTCTTTGTGTAGGAGAAGTGGAGTAATGGGTGTAATTCACTCTAAAAGGCAAAGTGGTGCTTCCAAAGCCAACTTGATAGGTTTGTCATTATTGCTTTGTTAGTGTCTTTTGATGTTCCACAAAACAATCAGATACAGCATATAGTATTATAAAAGACTGCAGGGTTTACCAGCCTTTTTGGATCAGTGGGCACAGTTTGAATTTTGATAGAGTGAGGGTGCCCATCACAAAATAGCTACTATGAGATATGTGTGGCGTAACACAAAATGGCTACAATGAGGAGCATGGTCTAACACAGAATTAGAGAGAGAGCCACCCTCAAATCTTATGCTAACCATGGGAAGACATTTAGGTCCTACTAATCCTGATTGTGGAGATCACACCAATGCTGTAATGGGACATTACTCAGTACCAGGAAAAATAAACAAGGTGGTCACACCACACTCAATTTCATTTCACAGAAATTGCTCAAACTTGGGCCCCCAGCTGTTGTTGGCCTACAACTCCCATAATCCCTAGCTAGCAAGGTCAGGGATGATGGGACCAAGTTTGAGAAACACTGGTTTAGAAGATACATGCACATTCCCCCCCCCCCATTTGTGGGAGGGCTAGACAGTTGTGGGTTTTTAAATTTAAAAAATAAAGCTTGGAATTGGCACATGTCCAGAGGTACCAATGAAAGCCTTCATGGGCATCAGGCTGACAACCCTGGCTTAAAAATGCATTAGAACAAATGAATCTACAAATCTAGAAAATGTTGGTTTTATTAAAAATGTGTTTTAAGCATAGAAATAACTAGCAATGTTGAACAATTATCATTCCAGTTGCAAAGTCTTGGGCAGATATAGTGAAACAGGGTGTTCCAAAATCTCAAGTAAGCAGTGCTGCAAAATGTGGTCTTAAAAGATCAGCCAAGAAGAGGTCAGCCAAGAAGAACTCAACAAAACCATCAAAGGTAATTCTCTAGCAGTGATCAAAACTAATACCCTGCATTTAGTAAATATATTGAAGCATTCCATTTTCCAGTCATTAAATGCCAGAGTCTGGAATTCTTTGAAACCAGGGATGGGAAGGGTCTTTAGCTTTTTGATAGATGGTCTGTATGCATGAAGTACCAGTTTCAGTCCCTGGCACTTCTAGACAACTTGAGATCTATTCCACCAAGTCAGAATAGACATCACTGGGATGGATGGACCAATAGTTCTGCTTTGTATAAGGCAGCTTGAAATGTCCTCCACCTTGCCCTCCCCCACCAATAATTGCATGGAATTCCAGAGCAAATGTGCAGATCAGATTCTTTCGCACTACTCTGAGTTTAGAGATGTGTTCTCTTGGTGTGCATGCCTTTTGGATAATGAAACCAGCCTGAATTGCCACATTGGAGTATATATGAGTAATATAAAGGACAGCAGTTTGTAAAGTAGGTTAAAACTGGGCTTGGGAAAATTATGGATAAGTTGATGTTGCTACTGTTAATGAGTATGCATCATATTTTATTTTGAGAGAGGATATGGTAAAATGAATGGAGATGAATTCTAGGTGCATGATGAGAGCAAGTAGAAAGGCAGGCAATGTCTGTTAGATGAAGCAAGACCATGTTTTGTCCACAACCAAAGTGGCTTGCCCACACACTGGCCCACAAGCAAAAAGAAATAATGTTTTAAGAGCCGTGTTTGCTACTTAAAAGCTTGTAGGTTAAGTAAAGCAGGCTGAATGATCTGTAAGAACAATGGCTTCTAGCCAACATTGTCTGCGCACATGCAAAGCAGATCTCCGCATGAGAAACAGGACTACATCTTACTGTTTGTTGTCAAACAATTACCAAGTACCCAGTATCCTGAAAGTAGATGGGTAGACACTTCTAAAGCATTTCCAACGTAATATTAGCTTTTTGCAATGAGAGAAAGAGCCAGAAGATACATATGTGGAGAGGAAATGTAGCCACAAGTGAAAAGTTTTCAAGTGCCTTTCACACAGCTTTCCTCTTGTATTATAATATTTCAAACTATGAATTACTATTTGATTACTTTAGGAATAAAGTGAGTTTTCTATATTCAAACTACTACAATTACAATTAAGTCCTTTAGAGTTCATGCTGCTTAATGTATTGTAGTTAGTTAACAGCATGTAATGAACCAGGAAGGTTCAGTTCAAACTTTAGTTCAGCCACGAAATCATTGGATTAGCCATACTCTGTCAAGCATCTAATCTGTAATATGGGTGTAATACTCTTGTAGCCTTACAGGATGTTAAGCAGTTTGAATGCCATTCTGTACTATTATACTCTTATTCTCAAATACCTCTATATTAAATACATACATAAATGGACTTTATCAAATAAGATATGCAAAATTGGATTTCCTATGCTATTTTTGCAGTCTTTTCTCAGTACTACTTAAGTAAAAGGATGGAAATGACTTAGAATTGGCAAAAGCCACCCTAAGCAACAGTGCAACAATGCACTGAGAATTTTTAGTATGTTGTTGGGGAGGCAAGATGTGACTGGCCAGATGTGAGCTCTATGTTTGTAGTTTCTGCTGCTGCCAAGCAGCAAAATGTTTCAAGAAGGAAAAATGGATGAAAGCTCTGTCTGCTTTTTTTTTGCTTGGATTTATTGTGCATACTGGACTTGACATTCAGAACTGTATCCAACTTTGAAGTAAATGGTAATTGAGCTGCGAGCACCAGGACTTACATGTACTCTAAGCCTCAGTGATCAGACTCAAAGGTTTAATTGTATATTTTGTTTTCAGAACAATGTTTCCATGCTAAAAACGCCAATAAGAAAAGTCATGGGTCACTTTACTACAGGCCATGCAAATTCCCCTGCTCCAATTGTGATTGGAAAAGCTCATACCAGTATTGTGAATGCTGCTGTACAAGTCCCTAAAGTGATGATCAACTATCCTTTGAAGAAACATGATGACTTAAATGAAAGTTTTACAGGTAAATTGTTAGTGTTTTGGTGAAATGATTTTTTCCCCCTTGTACAGTACCAAATATTTTGCAAGCCTATAAGGAGTTCACTTGCATCCCATGGAAAATGGTTGGATTGGTCATATAAAGAACTTGGTTGGTTTTACTGTCTGAAACAAACACAATCTGTTCTAACAAAATCAAACCTAGTTTGTACAAAGTAGCATTCCGTTTAAGTCAGTGACGGGCCAGAAAGACCTATGTTTAAAACTCTGCTCATCCATGAATCTTGCTTGGTGCCCTTCAACTAGTCAATATATCTCAACATATCTATGTTTTTGCAAGGATAAAGCTGTAGTGCCATCTTAAGATATATTTATGCTATCACATGAGGAAGTTCACATCCTAAGATGGCACTTGCTATAAGACTTTCTTATGGCTTTGATCCACAGAACTGTGAATGGAAGGATAAAATAGATTGGTGCTGTTTTGTTAACTTTTTAAGAAGACCTGCTGGAGCTAACCTAAAGGCTTTCTGGGCCAGCATACTGTTTCCCAGAGTAGCCAACCGGATCACTATGGGAAGCCCACAAGCAGGGCATGATGGCAATAGCCTTCTTGTTTCACTGCAGCATGCTACTCTGATATGCTCCCAGTCCTCTAGAAGTGTACGGTTAGGACTGGACTAACCCTAGGTGATACTGAACCCAGCAAGACGCTCAGAGCTGTAGGAATGCACAACCTGCAAGGAGCAGGGGGAGCAGTCTGAGAGAATAATCTTGCAAAGCCCTTTTGGGCCTTTGCTAAGATCAAAGCTCCCAATTGAGTATCCTTAGGCACACCCAGATTATCCTAGTTCTAGCTCTGGTTCATTCTGCTCCCAGGCATGAGGAAGTGACAACAGATTAAGAGTTAGCTGCTTTTCCTCACACAGCACATCTGTTAGCCAGAAACAGTCATCCCATGATCAAAATAAGCTTTCAGCTTGCGTTTAACTATTTTTATATGCAAATCTGGGCAGATTTAATAGCTAGCATTTTTAAAATTGTATGTAAAACCTATAGTGTGTGTTTGTCTGTAGTACAGCATTAGGTGTACAGTAAAACTTTAAGAAATAAAAGCTGCTCAGTCTTATCAATCCCTAATTGCCAGAAAATTGTATTGCGAACATGCATACAGGAAAGTGATGAATATAAGGCACTAAGTGGTTTTTAACATTGTCAACTTACCCATTCTTGACTATAGTAAGATTTTTATCCATGCCAATTTACCAACTCTCAGCTTTGCCAACAGATGGCACTGTGATATTATTTTAAAGGTAGGTCAATATCTAAACCAAGTGTAATACAGTAGTGATACCATCATATAATGGTCCAAAAATATGCAGTCATTTCATCATACTAATACTGGTTTTAAATGCCCCCGAATGAAAGTTGCTCTTTTGCTAAAATCCCGATTTACCTGTTTAATCTGGAAGCATGTGAATTTAGTAATTTCCCAAACTCATATTAGTCTTAATTATGAACTAGTCTTTTAATTCCGCCCTCTCTCACCCCACAATGATGGTTTTTTTTTTTAAAAAAATTAATTAATTTAGTTTAGATTTCCTTAATTCTGTTTTACTATTCTCAGCAACAGGGAAATGGGTATTCTGGGTACTGAAGTTCCATTTCTAGTTGTTAGAAATCATTCGAACTAGCTAGTGAGATCTTATCAGGCTAAGACTTTAACGTATCTCGTCATCTTCACTAGCTAAAAATTTAGAAATGAAACTGTTCTTAACTGAACTCAGTGCTTGTAGTGTGGCAGCATATATGCTGAGCCCTAATAATGCCCTTTCCCCAAGTGTTTCAAAATATATAATACTGGGGGTTTGAATTGAGCACAGGTGTCCCGCTGCCCTACTCTTCATGCTGAGCCAGCCAGAGAACCCCCTCCCAGCAGAAAGCCACAAATAGGGTGTTCCAAGGGGTGGGGCTGAGATAGCCCAGAACTGATGGATCCCAAGCCAGTCTTGCAGCTTTCATTGGCTAGCGCTGGGCCCAATCAAGACTTGATGCAGGGATCAGGTCCGAACCTTCCCTCTTCATTGTATTTTTAAATTTTCTATACTGCAATATAAAGAAGAAAAGAGGTGTAGTTCCTCTGTTCCTGCCTGATTTTTGTTGACAGTTGCTGCGTTTTTTTACGGAAGCACAGCTTGCCAGAGTGAAAGAATATTACTTCTTGGAGACTGGGAAGGAAATCAGGATTTTACATGGAAGCATAGGTGCTCGCTTCCCTATTACAAGAATGTATGTGGGTTTATTGAACCATGCAATATAGATTTATAGAATACTAGTATAATTTAAAGTTGAAAATGTCTTCATGGCATCTTTCTTTCTTTGCCTACTAATCGGTAAAGGTAAAGGTAAAGCGACCCCTGACCATTAGTATCTGTTCATTTCTGCTTCCCTGGAGAAAATGAGCCCTTATTGAAAGGGTTAATGCTCTGCTTCCAAGGCATGTGCTCCAGCAACATTGGTAGGGCTTCTTGTGTTCCTGCTGCCATCTTTCAGCATGCGTACCTTCTCTTGCATTAGGTAAAGGTAAAGGGGCCCCTGACCATTAGGTCCAGTCGTGACCGACTCGGGTTGCGGTGCTCATCTTGCTTTATTGGCCAAGGGAGCCGGCGTACAGGGTCATGTGGCCAGCATGACTAAGCCGCTTCTGGCGAACCAGAGCAGCGCACAGAAACGCCGTTTACCTTCCTGTCGGAGCAGTACCTATTTGTCTACTTGCACTTTGATGTGCTTTTGAAGTGCTAGGTTGGCAGGAGCAGGGACCGAGCAATGGGAGCTCACCCCGTCACGGGGATTCGAACCACCAACCTTCTGATCGGCAAGTCCTAGGCTCTGTGGTTTAACCCACAGCGCCACCCGCGTCCCCATCTGTAAAGGTAGCATGTAATAAATCATTAGCGGGAAGAGGAATTGATACATCATCAACAGCTATCACAGTTTGTTCAGACTAATGGGTGATAAACTACCATGTGGCTGTAAACTGCCATGAACATTAATGTTTGAAAATCTTGTGTGATGTTGTAGTCTGGGATTGCACTGTATATAAGACTGTTCTTCTGGGGAGCAGTCAAGCAAAGAGAATGAATTCTTAATAGTTATGTTTTCCCTTGCTCCCAATTGCAAACAAACTAAATGATTATTTCTTTACTGAACTTTAAATACTGTTTGCAGGGTTGGCTGAGATATTCAACACTCCACTGACAGGTTTACCCTCTTCTGCTCAAAAGACTACTATACCAACACCAGAATTCGTCTCAGAAATGCACACTCCAGAGGAGTCTGGTATGCATGTTTTGTATATATCCCTAGTGCTAACTATTACATGGCGATCCTTCTAAAGTTCCTTAATTTTGCAATATTTCTGTAAATAGTCCTTAAATTTTTCCAGTCTTCTTTCACCGATTCTTCTCCCTGGTCTCGGATTCTGCCGGTCATTTCCGCCAATTCCATGTAGTCAATCACCTTCATCTGCCATTCTTCCAAAGTGGGTAGATCTTGTGTCTTCCAATACTTTGCAATAAGTATTCTTGCTGCTGTTGTAGCATACATAAAAAAGTTCTGTCCTTCTTTAGCACCAGTTGGCCGACAATGCCCAAGAGAAAGGCCTCTGGTTTCTTCAGAAAGGTATATTTAAATACCTTTTTCAGTTCATTATATATCATTTCCCAGAAAGCCTTAATCTTTGGGCACGTCCACCAAAGGTGAAAGAATGTACCTTCAGTTTCTTTACATTTCCAACATTTATTATCGGGCAAATGATAAATTTTTGCAAGCTTGACTGGGGTCATGTACCACCTGTATATCATTTTCATGATATTCTCTCTTAAGGCATTACATGCCGTAAACTTCATACCTGTGGTCCATAACTGTTCCCAGTCAGCGAACATAATATTATGTCCAACATCTTGTGCCCATTTAATCATAGCAGATTTCACCGTTTCATCCTGAGTATTCCATTTCAACAGCAAGTTATACATTCTTGACAAATTTTTAGTTTTGGGTTCTAACAATTCTGTTTCTAATTTTGACTTTTCCACTTGGAAGCCTATTTTCTTATCCAAATTATATGCCTCCATTATCTGATAGTAGTGGAGCCAATCTCTCACTTTATTTTTTAATTTTTCAAAACTCTGCAATCTCAATTTATCTCCTTCTTGCTCCAAAATTTCCCAATATGTCAGCCATTTGGCCTCCATATTGAGCCTTTTCAGAGCTTTTGCTTCCATTGGTGATAGCCACCTTGGGGTTTTATTTTCCAATAAGTCTTTGTATCTTATCCAAACATTAAACAATGCTTTCCTAACAATATGGTTTTTGAATGCTTTGTGTGCTTTGACCTTATCATACCATAAATATGCATGCCATCCAAATACATTGTTAAAACCTTCTAGATCCAAAATGTCTGTGTTTTCAAGAAGTAGCCATTCTTTCAGCCAGCAAAAAGCTGCTGATTCATAATAAAGTTTAAAGTCTGGCAGGGCAAATCCACCTCTTTCCTTGGCATCAGTTAATATCTTGAATTTTATTCTGGGCTTCTTGCCCTGCCAGACAAATCTAGAAGAAGTTTGGCAAATTCTCAGTTAGGTTTTTATGCTGTAATTCTCTCGGAGTTATAATTCATCTTAGAAAAATATTCTATGAGAAAGGTAAAGGACCCCTGGGGTTAAGTCCAGTCAAAGACAACTATGGAGTGTAGCGCTCATCTCGCTTCAGGCCAAGGGAGCCGGTGTTTGTCCACAGACAGCTTTCTGGGTCATGTGGCCAGCATGACCAAACGGCTTCTGGTGCAACAGAACACTGTGACAGAAGCCGTACCTGTTTACTTGCACTCATATGCTTTTGAACTGCTAGGTTGGCAGGAGCTGGGACAGAGCAATGGGAGTTCACCCCGTTGTGGGGATCTGAACTGCTGGCAAGCTCAAGAAGCTCGTTGGAAAGAAATTTCACTGCTGGCTTTAAAGAAGCATTAGTTTATTCTTGCTTTAAGATCAAAATTCTGCTTTTTTGAAGCAGAGCAAAAAATAGAGAACTACAGTTACAATAAATGAATTTAATGCAATGTGTGAATACGGAAAAAGTCATAAAAATGCAACTACTAAAATATAAACTAACACTAGAAAGAGCTAAGATTAAAACTAAAAATTCCCATGTGTCTGGAAAGAAGTTTCTGAAAAGGAAGTATTTCTCAGCTGGTGGCAGAAAACTGGAAAACTTGGGGATGACCAAGCATGCTGTTGTGGCAGGAATGTACACATTCTGAGCACCACAGCAGAGGTTTTTTTCTATGTCATCAGTGTAACACAAGGATATAAAGGGGCTCATAGGAGGGTCTTGTTCTGGCTTTCCCAGATGTTAGAAATATTTGTGCTATTTTCTGTCCCCCATCAGAGGCAAAGTGCATGCAATTTCAAAGTTTCCCTTAGACAAATGAAAAATGGAGCAAAAGAGTACATCCAGGAGTTGTTACTTATAGGACATGTGCTCACACTGATAGTAGTAACAGTTCAATAGTTGTGGCACGGCAGATTTCTTCTTACAGCAGGAGGTGTTGGCCAGTTCAGGACTGTTCGTAGTAGGCATAAGTGTGTCGTGCAGTGCAAATTAATAACACAGTCTTCTTCAGTAAAAGAATAAAAGCTTTCCTGAGTTAAAATAAACTTGTTTGCAAATAAAAGCATAGTGAACAAAAGATTAAACTAGCTTCAGAGCATACACAGTTTCCATTGAGCACAGGCTTCACAGAGCACAGGCTCCACCACACACAGAGAGAGAGACACACAGACAGACACAGACTGAGTCTGCCTGCCTACTTATACAGTGGTACCTCGGGTTACATAAGCTTCAGGTTACATACACTTCAGGTTACAGACTCCACTAACCCAGAAATAGTACCTCAGGTTAAGAACTTTGCTTCAGGATGAGAACAGAAATCGTGCTCCAGCGGCGCGGCAGCAGGAGGCCCCATTAGCTAAAGTGGTGCTTCAGGTTAAGAACGGACCACCGGAACGAATTAAATACTTAACCCGAGGTACCACTGTACAGAGAATGAGTCATCCTCATGATGAGTCACAGTGATTCAGCATGCTAAAGATTCTGCGGCTTTTCAGCATTTCACAACATTTCTAGACTTCTTTACTGCTTCCTTTACTGCCTCTGCTCTCAAATACCTTGGTCACATGACAAAGTGTACCTCTTATTCCTAGTCCTGCTAACTATCCGTCTTTGGGATATTACACACGCACCATCCCCTTTCCTGCAGAATGTCATTTATTCAAGAATTCTGCCTTATCAGGTGGCACAGAATTGACACGTGTCCCTTGTTTCCACTAGGAAGAACAGTAATTTCTTATGCAATCAAAAACTCCTTTTACAGTTCATTTTTATATCTTTTAACAGGAGAGATGTCTGTATCACCTTTCAGCGCAGCAAGCCAACAAAAACTTTATAACCAAGATGTCATATCCCCCTTCTTGAAGGAAGTGTCACAGATCTCTGGTCTTGAGCAAGATGACCTAACTACAACTCCAAAAGTAACGAATTCTTCATTAGAAAAAGATGTAGGGAAAAATATGTCACTGGTCACAGCAGCAAATGAAGCTACTATACAGGGAGTGATGGAAGATAAAAGAAAAGGTCCAGAACAAAAATTAGAGCCTGTTGAAGCATTTTCAGGGGTCAAGAGGCTCTTGAGGACACCGAAGCAAAAACCAGAGCCAGTTGATGCTCTTTCAGGCGTGAAGAGGGTCTTGAGAACACCCAAACAAAAACCAGAGCCAGTTGATGCGCTTTCAGGAGTTAAGAGGGTCTTGAGAACACCCAAACAAAAACCAGAGCCAGTTGATGCGCTTTCAGGAGTTAAGAGGGTCTTGAGAACGCCGAAGCAAAAACCAGAGCCAGTTGATGCACTTTCAGGAGTCAAGAGACTCTTGAGGACGCCCAAAGAAAGCCTGCAGTCTGTTGCAGATGACACTGTCTGCTCCAAATTCATTATTAATCATGTTATCAAGGCACCTAATGAAAAAGTGGAAGCAGTGGAAGATATGGGAGGGATTGATAGGCTATTGAGAACACCTAAACAAAGATTTGCACCAATGGATGATATGGTTGGCATTAGTCGATTACTGAAGACACCAAAGCAGAAGTTTTTGCCAGTTGATGACTACTTGGGACTGCAGAAGTTTATGACCGAACCTAAACAAAGCTTTCCAAGTCCTGAAGTTGATTATACAGGTGTTAAGGAAATGTTGGAAGCTGCAGATGGACAGAAGGTAGGTCTTCTATATTGAATATCTGAGAAAAGACTTATATACTTAAATTGCACTAATTATTTCAATAAAAGAAATCATTAACATGACCCAATTTTTTCTTGCACAGCAAGATTCTGTGACATGTTTATATGACATGCAGTTCTGCCATTTCTCTAAATGCCGATTGGGTTGGAATGTGGAATCAAGCATTTTGAGCAGAGAATGACTAACTTGTTCCAGCAAGCCCTGATCTCCTGAAAAAGCAAAGTGTATGCACACGTGCTTACTTTGTGTTTTTTACCAGGAGGAAATGTGTGACCTGTGGGGTTGCACAAGCAACACCTGATTTTGATGAACCAACCTTACTCCCAACTCTGAGGCTAATCTTGCCTGAGTACTAATTAGAATCTTTTTGGATTTTTTGGCACAGATCTTGCCATTTAAAATCACTGGTTTTGAATATATATGAAATAGTTTTTTTTGTAGGGAGAAAAGGTGGGACATAATATCTTTATCACTACTGCTTTTACTTCAAAGTGTTTCATCTTTGGATCACTTGTACATTGTGTTTAATGACATTGGTACACTTGTGATGCAAAGTGGATGCACTCCTGATTTTATTATAGCAGCATAGCTATTTATTTTTCATCTCTTTCATTATATCTTTTTGTATTTCGATATTTAGTATGTTCAGTAAGTATTATGAAGCCTCTTGTGAAATGGTCAGGACTGCCATACATATTTTACAAAGCACTAAATCAGCCATATTACGAAGAGTACCTGCATCTTCAATGAACTTAACACACAGTTCCACACACACACGTGTCAGTTCAGCTTGGACTTTTATAAATATTGTATAACACTGGTTATAGGCCCAGCATCTTTTCATGCCAGCTATTGTAATAATTATGTATTTTTTTCTAGGCTGAATTGCCAGAGTTTGTGAATCTAATGAAAGAAGATAATGGATCTTGTATGAGTTCCAGAGGTGAGCTTGGTGTGTGTAAATATTATTTCAACAAAACCTTTTATTTTCAAAAAAGGAAGTAGCAGGTTTACATTTATCTGCTTTAAAATATGGTTTTATTTCAGAACAACTAGAATGAAATTAAGTCAGAAGGTTTCAACCTTTTTGGGTCCATGGCTCCCTTGACCAATTACATTCTGCAGCACCTGTGTGGGGCTCAAGAGCCCAGTTATGTCACCCCTTGCCTGCAGAACTGGCAGCCCCTCACCCTTTTTCAAACATTCTCCCTGTGCAACCTTTGAGAGGCAGAGATGCAAGGGCATCAGAGGAGGGAGGCAAGGAAAGAGGGGCAGAGGCCAGTGTTGCCCACAGCACCCCTGACCATCATTCAAGACTCCCCCAGGGTGCCACAGCACACTGGTTGAAAATGACTGAATTAAGTAATTACAGTAAAGTTGCAAGGCTTTTGGGGTGCTCTTTCAAATACACAGATGGCTAACAGTTGTGCATGTCTGCCTTGATTTTCTGTTTGCATAGCAGTTAGAGATTAAATTTTTTAATGTGTGGGCATCAAAATCTGTTGCCGTTGTACCGCTTTATGTGCACCTTATGTCCTAAAGTACACAATGGCAGTAGGAAAACGACTGATATTGAAAAAGGGATCCTTATTTTACTGGTGTTCCTATTTGATGCATGCAGTATATCTGAATGGGACACAGGTGGTGCTGTGGTCTAAACCACTGAGACTTGGGCTTGCCAATCAAAAGGTCGGCAGTTTGAATCCCTGTGACGGGATGAGCTCCTGTTGCTCCATCCCAGCTCCTGCCAACCTAGCAGTTCGAAAGCACATAAAAGTGCAAGTAGATAAACAGGTACCGCTCTGGCGGGAAGGTAAACAGCGTTTCTGTGCGCTGCTCTGGTTTCGCCAGAAGCGGCTTAGTCATGCTGGCTACATGACCCAGAAAAACTGTCTGCGGACAAACGTCAGCTCCCTCTGCCAGTAAAGCAAGATGAGCGCCGCAACCCCAGAGTCGTTTGCGACTAGACTTAACTGTCAGGGGTCCTTCACCTTCACCTTTTTTAGTATATCTGAAAGGGTAATGGATGCAGCTGGCTTGCATGATTTTTACACATTGATTCTTAAGTGTATAGATAATGCACGTGAGGTTGTAAGTGTGGGAGCTCTGTGCAAAAGGTTCTTTTGAACAAACAAGCCAGGGCTTATCTAACAGCACACATTGGATTTGAATTCCAGCATACGACTACAAGAACCCATCACTAAGTAATGTTTAGGTCAAATCGTGAGCCCGTTCTAAATGTAACTTAGTATTTCTAAGGCTATATGCAGCTAAGAAGTGCTTAACTTGGTTGCATTTTATTCATCTTGAAGCGTTCTTTATAATTACAACAAAACTTGAATAATTTTATTTTGGAGATTCTGGAATATGAAGGTTTGGGAAAGCACTGTAAAGTGGCATCTGCAAATAGTGGCGTATTGTTAAAGTTAAGAATGATTAATAGCACAAGATATAAATATCACATGGCAAAATATAAAAGCAAATTTATGAAGCAATGTAGTACTTCCTCTGGGACTTTTTGGCTAGTAAGTGTGTTTACTACTCTTCACAATCACCATATCCTGAGAAATAACATTTAATGTACTTTTCTTTTTTAAGAATCCATGAGAAATGGCTATGAAAATAAAGAAGCAAAACTGGAATCATCACCTAAAAGAATATCTCCTTTGCCAAAACCAAAGGACAACAGTAAAAATATTTCAAAATTAGAAGATAACTTGGGACACGTTGCATGTAACACATTTAGTGAATTAAAATCAGAAGCAGTGATAGAACCTGTTGAAATAATGCGTGTTTCAGAAAGCCATCAGCTAAAGGAAATGGACTCTGAAAATGGACACAAAATTGATTTTGTGAAAGAACCAGTTGCAAATTCTGGGGCAGTAGATATAGAAATCGTTGGACCATTGGCTTCAGCTAGAAGAACTAGAAGAGCTGATAAATCCAGATCTGTAAAAGAACATGATGCAAAAAATACACAGAGGCATACAAGCAGCACCCAGAGAGCAGAACCAGTCAATTGTGTGCAAGCTAATGAAAACTTTGACCAGAACATCACTGAAATAAATCTAAAGCAAGAATCTGAAAGCAACACATCAGCAGTTGAAACTGAGGGGGAAATGGCAGCTCGACAAACTGAAGCAAGTTTAGATTTAGAAGAAAATGCAGAAATACAAGACAAAATAAAAAACCAAGATTTTGAAACATCAGGAGTGGAAAGCGCTGGAAATGTCATACTGAAAAGAAATAGAAGAGGAAAGGCTGCTTCAATACAAGCAGAATTGTTTACAACAAACACAGATGTTAATGAGGCTAAAAAGGAAAATCTAAGACACACAACACCTAAAACACACGTTTTGGAAAAGACTGCAACAGAAGTTAAAGAAAATAATGTTAGAAGGAAAGGGAGGAAAGTTCATCTTCTATGTGATAATTCTGTACCACTTGAGGAAAAACGTATGCTTGGAGATAAGGATGGTGCTTATGAAGGACAAAAGAGTGCTTCCATTGCATTACAGCCAGGCATGCAAGAAATTCAAAATGAAGAGAATCCTGGTGAAGCGCAGAAGGTGCCATTGGAAAGTGTGCAAACTCCTGAGAAGCATAGTCCACCAAGAAGGCAGACAGTAACACCCAGGAGAGGAAGACGCAAGCGAGCCATTTCTCAGGAAACAACTATAGAATGTGACAGTAAACAGGCAGCTGATACAGAAGACCAAAATATGCCTGTCACTGTAAAAGAGAATCGACCAAAAAGGGGCAGGGGAAGAAGAGCTGTTCCTGAATGCCAGATTCCACCTCTTTTGGAAAATGTTGCTCTTACAAAAGAGAGTCCAACAGTGGACAGCTTTGGTTCTACTCAAGAAAAATGTTCTTTGCAAGAAACTCAGACTAAAGAGAATCTTGATGAAATGCCTAAGATGCCCTTGGAAAGTGAGCAACCTCTTTTAGAACACAGCCCACCAAAAAGACAGAAGATAGCAAAAGGAAACCCACCCAGGAGAGGTAGAAGCAAACAAACCATTTCTCCTGAAACACTCACTGAATGTGACAGTAAACAGGCAGCTGATACAGAAGACCAAAATATGCCTGTCACTGTAAAAGAGAATCAGCCAAAAAGGGGCAGGGGGAGAAGAGCTGCTCCTGTATGTTCAGTGACATTGCCTCTGGAAGACATTCCTCTTACATCTGAGGGCCCAACAGCGAACAGCATTAGTTCTGCCCCAAGAAAGTGTTCTTTAGATGAAATTCAAAATGAAGAGAAACCTAATGAAACTGAGGAGGTGCCTTTGGAAGGTTTGCAAACTCCTGCAAAGTATTGTCCAGCAAGGAAGCAAAAATTAGCAAACAGGATGCTGCCCAAGAGAGGGAAAAGCAAGCAAGCCATTTCTCAGGAAACATCCGTGGAATGTGAAAGTAAACAGACGGCTGATAGAAAAGACCAAGCCATGGTTGTCACCATAAAAGATAATCAGCTGAAAAGGGGCAGAAGAAGAGTTGTTCCTGTATCTCATATGACATTGCCTCTAGGAAACATTACTCCTGCATATGAGGGTGCAAAATTGGACAGCTTTACTTCTGCCCAAGGAAAATGTTCTTTGCAAGAAATTCATACTGAAGAGAATATTGGTGAAATGTCTAAGAGGCCCTTGGAAAGTGAGCAACCTCTTTTAGAACACAGCCCACCAAAAAGACAGAAGATAGCAAAAGGAAACCCACCCAGGAGAGGTAGAAGCAAACAAACCATTTCTCCTAAAATACCCACAGAATGTGACAGTGAACAGGCAGGTGATACAGAAGACCAAAATATGCTTGTCACTGTAAAAGAGAATCAGCCAAAAAGGGGCAGGGGGAGACGAGCTGTTCCTGAATGCCAAATACCACCTCCTTTGGAAAATGTTGCTCTTAAAAAGGAGAGCCCAACAGTGGGCAGCCATAGTTCTACCCAAGGAAAATGTTCTTTGCAAGATATCCAAAATGAAAAGAATCTTGATGAAATGCTTAAGATGCCCTTGGAAAGTGTGCAACCTCTATTAGAGCACAGTCCACCAAAAAGACAGAACCTAGCAAAAGGAAACCCACTCAGGAGAGGTAGAAACAAACAAACCATTTCTCCTGAAATACTTGCTGAATGTGACAGTAAACAGGCAGCTGATACAGAAGACCAAAATATGCTTGTCACTGTAAAAGAGAATCAGCTAAAAAGGGGTAGAGGAAGAAAGACTGCCCCTGTAACAGCTCTTTCTCCCCTCAAAAGTAACATTTTACCATTGCCATCCTCAACCAAAAGCAAAGGTGCTGTGGAAGAGCCAAGTGAGGCTTTGGAAATTGCAACTGTTGCAAGTAAGAATCTGCCACGTAGAGGCAGAAGAAGAAAAGTAGATGAGGTAATTGCAGCAAGCTCAGTTTCTGCAAGTAAAAAGCCCATATTGCTTGATACTGGAAAGCAAGAAGACATGCCAGAAGTTTTAAAAGGTGTGACAATAGATAATGTTTCCAAAAGAGGTAGAAGAAAGCAATCGGTTCCTTCTGAAATCTCAACAGAAAGTAATGGCCAACCAGGAAGTGACAACAGAAAGGTCTCTTTTGTAAAAGATAACAAGATGCCTTTGGAAAGTAGTTCAGTTTTCCAAAACCAATCAAAGGGGAAGAGAGTAAAAAGAACTACTCCATCACGGGTACACCCTTCTCTCAAAGTAAGCATCACTCTAACATCACCACCTCCAGACAAAGGTGAAACTGCCAGTGAAAATCAAAGCACCCTTCTTGAAAATGATGCAACTGGAAAAGGGAAACTTGAAAAATGTGGCAGAAGAAACAAAAATAAAATAGTGACACCTTCCATGTCTATCAGAAGAAAGCACAACCTTCCTGAAAAGGAAGATTTTCAGGAAAAACAAAATGTAGATTTTGGAAAGCTAGCTATACCCAATGAGAAAATAAGCAGAAGAGGTAGAAGAGTTGATGCACTTGAAGCACCTATTTCTGCTTCTCTCAGAACCAACCGTAGATTGAATGCAGGGGGTGATAATGCTCCTAAAGATCGACAGATGATTCTGAAGAACAAATCAAAATCTAAAGCAGGTATGTGCATGGTTTTTTCCTCCTTATTTCAGAGTTCTTAATGTTTAAGATTCTAAGTTTTTGATTCAAAATTAATGGAAAACCTTTAGGCTTTGGTGAGAAGTTACAGCAGCACACCTGAAATTTAGATACCATCAATTTCATTTCAAAATTTCTTTGTTGAAGATGCCATTGGTAATGTAAATCAGGGTGAGCAGACTTTACTAAAACTCTGAGGTCTAACAATGAGAACCAGATGCAAATGACATACAGATGAATTAAAGGAAAGTATGCATCTGAACACATCCAGAGCTATGGAATTAGTTTTCTGTACCAGAATTGAAGTGAGCAGACAGGCCTTTCATAACCCAAAGTCCACTTCTAGTTATATACCTTCATCTCAGCAGCCTAATTTAGGTGGAAAGGGCTAGGAAGGGTGTTGCTATCACTAAACAAGTGGGATTAAAACTTGGTTGTTAGTTTGCTGCAAATCACCTAGAGATAAAACTCGAAAAACCATCCCATTAGTGAAGTACCGTATATAGTAATAGTGTTACTGATCTTCAGAAAGGTTCCAGTTTATAGTATATAGTGAGATGGCCACAGGATTCACATATTTCTTATGGAGAACTGAACTTCTGGATTCATAAATGGGATATCAGGAAAAACTAGTGTTCTCCCCATAACTTGCTTAGCTGTTATTTAAAAATAGACTTTTAAGTTTATTGCTTTTTCCTGTTTATGAAACCTAGTTTTTATGGCCTGTGATCCTACTATCAGTAATAAATAACTACAGTATTAGTAAGAGTTCCCTAATGTCCTGAATGCTGTCATTTATTTTGTATGGGTGTGGGAAAGAACTGCAGCCCAGGGAAAGCAAAACAGGAGACCTCTAATGCAGATATGTTTACAGAGTAACTTATATAAAGTCATTAATATTTAACAAACATTAACCATGTTAGGTGAGATCCAAAGGGCTACACACAAAACTTGCATGCAGATCTTAGTACTTCAGAATTCCTCTTATGAGAAGCTACTCCTGGAAGTGGGATGAAGAACCCACAGTCAGGAGAGGTTTCAGAAATTTTCGTGCACAAGCCATCGGGCATCTTTGAATCCACCATCATTAGGATTATTATTATTAAAATTTATATACTGCCCTATACCCAGAGGTCTCAGGGCAGTTCACAGAACAAAATAAGAATATAAAACCACAAAATATATTACCAAAATAAAAACTAACTCACCCCCACAAAAAAACAACAACACATTTTAAAAGGACATAGGATGTCATTCTTCATAGTTCTATAAACCATTTGTCCACCGAGGAGACAGAATAATTTTCTGCCTGCAGTAGCTGCCTGTTTGGCTTCCCTTTCTAACCACATTACCAAGGTGGATTGTTTTTTTGTTTTGTTTTTTAAATGATATTTATTAAAGTTTCAATAAAAGATTAAACATAAAACATAAAAAAGAAATACACAATTCAAAATGTACAATACATAATCTAAAAGAAAGAAAAAATTAAAGAAACAAGAAAACAAAAGACAAAAAAGAAAGTAAAACAATTAAAAACAATATCACCTTTTCGTCTCCATTTTTAAATTTACTTATTTTCTGGACCTCCTCGTACCTCCCTCTTTTGTATTCCAGTTCAAATTGTTTGTCCAGCAATTTCTTTCCCTCTTTTTTTAATCCCAATCTTACTCTTAATATAATATAACATTAAAATTTTACCTTTTAAAAACCAAATTTCCATTTCCTTAAACTTTTTTAATCCTAATCCTTAATCTTAATCTATCCATAATTTTAAATCCTAAACAGCTGGAAGCCACTTATTTTTAATCCAGCATCACTCTAACATTCTTTAATTTTGCAATGTTTCTGCAGATAGTCTTTGAATTTCTTCCAATCTTCCTCCACTGACTCTTCTCCCTGATCACGGATTCTACCAGTCATTTCCGCCAGTTCCATATAGTCCATCAGTTTCATCTGCCATTCCTCCAGTGTGGGAAGCTCTTGTGTCTTCCAATACTTTGCAATGAGTATTCTTGCTGCTGTTGTTGCATACATAAAGAAAGTTCTATCCTTTTTTATCACCATTTGGCCGACTATGCCCAGTAGCTGCCTGTTTGGCTTCCCTTTCTAACCACATTACCAAGGTGGATTGTTTTGAATCAGCAATTCAAAAAAGCATGTTGTAAGCAAATTTCCCATTTATCATGTATTTCAGGTGCGCAGGAAATTTTCTAAACTCCCATCAGCCCCAGCAAGCCAATGGCCTGGGATGATGCTGATTTCAGTTCAGCAGCATCTGGAAGGCTAAATGTTCTCCACACCTGATATATTTCCTAAGCAATGACGCCAAATGTATTTCTCTGCTTTCCTTTGAACCACATCAGTGAAGCAGGACCACACTTGTCCAAGCTTGTTTCCTGAGGAGGTCACTTCAGTGCTGCTGACGCAACGATTTGACTTCCCCCTTGGAAGGTGCTCTTCATTGTCTCTTGAGACAGATGGACACCAACAATAACAGCAGCATATACTTTCACATTTCCCATTAAAGGGAATACCTTTAAAATATTTCTAATTAGATAATACTGCTGTCTTGTGATCAGCAGCTACAAACAAAACTGAAATGTCCATAACTGATAGTTGAAGCAAAGTCTGCTTGTTGCTGCACAATATAGAACATTTAATTTTTATGAGTTGAAATAAAATGCCTTCTTTGGCAGCTTGAATGTCAATATATCTGAGGAATCATCTTGCTGTACTTAGAAAAGTGTCCTTTGATTCAAAGGTATCTAGTAGAACGCATTGATTTGGTTTAGAGATGAACTGTGGGGCTAACATGCTTACAGATTTTTAAAATAAGTAATGCTTAGAATTTACTACTTACTATTTTTTAAAGTTATCTGCTATGGTCTGAAATAGCTTTCAATAGGACAATATTAAATTTCCTCCATGTGAACTTTTTGGAAGCAGTGATCCTGAGGTGGGTTTGAGGGATCCTGCACCTTGCAGCCAATTTCCTTAACTGTGGCCTTATGTGAGAGATAGGACTCCAAACATCTACCACAGGGTTTCCCTTAGTTATGATGTCAAGTCAGTTTGGAAAGAGTGAATAACTGCCTGGAATGAACTGCTCTGAACAGAAGAAAGATATCTTGATAATTAGAATGCTATATTTTTATCTAATCTTGCTACTAAAGAGAGAATATCAAAAAGTTTGGCCTCAAATCATCTTTTTTTTTTTTTTAACAACTAGAAAGCATTGAAAAGACACCATTAAAAAAAGAAAAAAAGAAAACAGTGAAAGAAGAACATTCCAAATCTACAGTTAAGCCTGCTGGAGAAACTGAAGGCAAGACAAGAGGGAGGAAAACAAAAAAAAATGTTTTGTAATTTTTGGTACTGGGTTTGTGTAATTTTTTTCCTTCAGAATAAATGGACATATATGGGTTGTAAAGTATGCTTTGCATTTAAAACCTTACTTTGTTTCTGTAACTTCAGTTCATCCTTCAACATTGACGCTTTCCCATCTGTATATACATTTTTCATATATTTTACAGGGCTTTTTGTTTAACACTGTATTGTGTTAAGATAGTTTTAATTCAGGTGTTAATTTTTATCTGATTTTTACATTAAACCATACCTTGGCTTAAAATAATATCCTTTTATATTGTTCCAATCCCTGGTGAATATGACTGCTAAAAAAGCATGTTAGACTGTTCTCTGTACGCTGTCAATGTTCAGTTAATGCTTTAGAAAGGATAAGGCAAGGATAGCTGCATTGTTATCTTGTTATCCATAGCTTAGTAAATGTACAATCCCTCTACCCAACTACCAGCTATGGCACTTTAACAACTCTAGGAGAACAACAATCCATATATAGTAGTGTTAAACAGAACTAATTATACTTGGCCCCTTTCTTTCTACATAACATAGTCATTGGGGGGTTGCCAGGATGGGAAACAGACCCTTCTCTTTCCCAGGCCACATACCTTTGAATCATGGCTGTCACTTTCTCTTCAGTTCCAGTACTTCTCATGGTTGGTGGTATCAATTCAAAACTTAAATATTTAAGGTTAAGTGCCTGGTACCTATAGTTACAATATCCTAATTGTCAGGGCTAGGAAAGTTCTGCTTGAGCTGTTAACGGGATAACTTGAACAGTGCAGCTGGCATTAAATTGAACCAAACAGTAGTCTAGTACTGTAGAGGTCTTGTCCTTTTTCTTATTGCAGCATTCTAAGCACACCTTTCCTAAGCTCCCACCTCAGTTCTGTTGTCAGTACTGTATATGATTTCAGTTTTTTATAGATCTCATAGTAGCTGCTTTTCTCTCCTCCCCACCCAACATGAATTCTAAGCTGCCTGTGAATTGCCAAGCCAGCAAAATTGGAGGATAATAAAGTTTACAGAAGCATATGTGTATGCTAGCCTTTTGAAATAGATTCAGTTTTAAGGAATAGCACTCTTTACTGCTAATGCCTAAAATTCTTCATTTTGATGAAGGTTCCAGTGAGAGAGATTCTCCTGGTTGAGTGACATACCCTGCCCTCAATATCCCTGCATGAATACTACCCTTCTTGCTGTGTTCAGCCCTTCCAGTTCCCTCTTGTTTTATTTCAGTTTTAAATACTACTGCTCCAAGAACAGAACTTCAACTCTCACTGGATGACACAGAATTTGAGGGTGGGCTTTCTTGGTTGGTGTAGGCGTGCTTGGTGATGGACCTTTGAAGATACCAAGTCACAGGCCTAAGGTGTATTCACCTGACACTCATACATGTTGCTGCCCACCTTGTTAATTCGTTTTTTAAATAATTTCATTTTATTTTCAAAAATAAGGGAAAGAAAAGAAAGAAAGAAAGAAAGAATAAAATTACATCAAAATGTCATACACAATCACATATCGAAATTACTCTGAATCTCCTGACTTCCTCCCATCCCATCCATGGGTCCTCTTAATTCTGTTTTATCTACATATCAATACTTCTCCAAAAAAATTATCTTCCTAAATTATCTGTAGTTTCTATTACATTACAAGTGTATTTAAAAACCTGCTAATGTTTTAACCTGTTTGCAATGGTTTTGTATACACATTATAAACATTTCCCATTCTTTGTTAAATTTCTTTTCTCCTTAATTCCTGAGCTTCCCAGTTAATTTTGACCATTTTGGCATAGTACATCAACTTGATCTTGTAGCATACATGAACAGTTTCTTCTGATCTATCATTTCCCAGATTTTTAAAAATTACATGACAGTTCCAACACATGATAAAAGGTACCCTCTTTTTCTTTACATTTCCAGCATATATTGGTACTTGTTTTATACATTTTTGCTAGTTTTACTGGGGTTAAGTACCACCGATACATCATTTTCATGTAGTTTTCTTTCAATGAAGAACATGCCGTGAATTTCAGATCAGTTTTCCGTAGCCTCCTCCAATCCGTCATTTGTATATTGTGTCCCACATCTTTCGCCCATTTTATCATCCCTGATTTCACCTGTTCATCTTTAGTATCCCATTCCCACCTTGCTAATTCTTCAGTGCAGCATCTCAACTGAAATTTGATCACTCCTTGAGGCTCTGGCATTAATATGGGGCCTGATTATGGCATGGGAAGCAGGGTTGTTATGCAAGAGCTCAGAATCAACTAATAGCAAAATGTGAATTTGCTGGTTTGTAATGGACCATAAAGGAAACGAAGTGGATCTGTACCAGACTGCAAATGTGTGGGCCTTCTGCCTCAGCTGGCTGGTAGTTAGAAAAAAGGCAGAGCTGAGAGTTGAATGATACAATCTGGAAGCTAGAAAAAAAGATGCAGGCTGGGAAGCAAGTGAGAATTTGATGCTTGGTTTCTGTTTAATTCAAGGCTGTGGCTATGGAAGAAGCACGACCCCTTAGGGTGTTAATGCTGTGAATCAGTCTCTCACAAGCTCATGTTGTATATATGTGTAAATAAGCCATATATCCTAAAGTCTTCGTTGCGCCTCATTCCAAGGAAACCAAACCCTGGGGAAGCACCTGTAAGCCCTAGAATCTTGCACTGTTTAGAGATTGGGATGGCATGCAGCAGTGCCTTAATGCTACAAAAGAAAGCCACGAGCAATGGGAAATGCCTGGGGACTTGGTTGGAAAGGGTAAACACAAGATTCTGGCTACAGTTTGGTAAAGATGCACAATCAAGCAAAACTCTGCCGTAGTCTTTTCTTTAAAAGCTTGCATCCGGATAGCTGTGCCTGCTGACTGAAAAGTGCCCTAGCGCCTGCTGCTGCCTTTGCCTGATAAGATTGGCATTCTATTTCTAATCTTTTCAAAACTTGGCAGGGTTAATGCCTTGAGGGAGTATTAAAAACCCTGAAATCTTCATGTCCTTTGGACCAAGGACTCCTAAGTTACACAACCATGTCAGTTCAAAGGACAGATCATCAAACGATGAAAGGCAGACTCATTAACCCACCGAACTTTTGACCCAGGATTTCAAGTTCAGAGAAATTGAAAAGCCCCCACCCACCGCCCCATGCCATTGCCTGTCCAGTTGCTAGTATAAATCGTCTACTGCTTTGAGTAGAATTGTGAAGTTGCAGGATATCCCAACCTTTTATTTCCATGTATTACAAACAGGGCCAGGTCTACCAGAAATAAAAAATCTGTTTACAAGCAAGCAGTTACAGCTTCTGGATGTGAAAAAGGATAGCTAATTAACTTGCTTTCATGCTACACATGGATAGACTAACCTAAATCTGATGTCAGTGGATCTGGTCTGAGTATGCGGTAGGATTTTGTAGTATGAAATTAGAAAGGTGGGACTTATTGCTGCACTTCAATGGAATCTGAAAATTCTGGTAGCATATGTTATTGTGTTAATAGATTTCATATCTTTTATCCCTTTCTGTATAGATAGATTTGTGCAAAGAAATGTCAGTGCCAAAGGAGAATTTATTTTTTCTTGTTTATTTCTATACTGTGCTTCATCAAAAAAACCCCAGAGCAGGCTACAACAATGAAATAAATAAAAATATAACAGTACAACGCAATTAAACATCACTCAATTGTCTACATTATTACTGTACCGGCATTCAAAGAGAGGGGTTTTTATCTGGCACCTAAAATAACTATGCTGTTGTGTTGGCATCAGCTGGACTTCAAGGGGGCATGTATTCAATAACTTGGCTGCTATTTGCAAGAAAGTGAGTCACAAAGTCTCACATTTCACTGAGTGATGGAACTAACAATAGGGTTTCTCCAGCAAATCTCAAGGTGCAGGCAGTATGATATAGGAGGAGCCACACCTTCAAGTAATCTTTTTTATATTGTGACTTTATATTGGAACAGATTGTTACTATTAATGTTTGATATTATTGTTGGAAGCCGCTCAGAGTGGCTGGGGCAACCCAGCCGGATGGACGGGGTATAAATAAAAAATATTACTAATTGGGCCCTATCTAAGATGCTATGGGCTTGAACATTGCTTTTGGGATTACTTTTAAACTCCACCCTTTCTTCAGTGAGTTTAAGGCAGGGGTCAGCAAACTTTTTCAGCAGGGGGCCAGTCCACTGACCCTCAGATCTTGTGGTGGGCTGGAATATATTTTTTGGGGGGGGGGATTAACGAATTCCTATGCCCCACAAATAACCCAGAGATGCATTTTAAATAAAAGCACACATTCTACTCATGTAAAAACACGCTGATTCTCGGACTGTCCGCTCACCGGCTTTAGAAGGCGACTGGGCCGTATCTGGCCCCTGGGCCTTAGTCTGCCTACCCATGGTTTAAGGTGTGATACATTGTTCTTCCCCTCCCTGTTTTATCCTTACAACAACCCTGTGAGGTAATTTGGCTGAGAGGGTAATCCAGTGAGCTTCATGGCTGAGTGGTGATTGAACTTTGGACTCCCAGGTCCTAGGCCCTGATGTCGCTGAACTACTGGAGTCCAACAGCATCTGGAGGGTCACAGGTTCCCACCCCCTGGTTGACCTAGCTTCTTCCAAATGCACCAGAAGCTGCATGGCCACCACACCTGTGGGCACCTTAAAAACTTGAAGAGGCCAACTAGTACAGTATCCTGCTCTCGCAGTGTGCAACCAGATACCTATGGAAAGCCCACAAGCAGGACATGAGTGCAAGAGCACTTGTGCCAGCTGCAACTGCTGTTCCCAGATGTACTGCCTCCAATGCAGGAAGTAATACACCCCAAATTGGCCAATGGTATCACAACCCGCTGCCTGGCCACACTTTTCTCCTTGAAGCTGGATTTTGTGCTGTGGAACTTCACATTCATATTTGGATTTCTGCAGTCAGCACCCAACAGCCTTGCTCTGGTGTTATTCTGCTTATGTCTTAGAGTCCAAAAGGAACTGGCCCTTCTCCCCAGCAGCAGCCTCTCTGCAGAAGTCCCACCCCAAAGAAACCTACCAATCCTGTTCCGTTTTACTTGTTCTGTTGGATCTGTTAGGTGATGCCAGTGGAAAGGTCTGGTAGACTAGGAGCCGGCATAGATTTTTATGTTTGGTGCTGGCTTGGTGTTGATTTGATGCTTCCATGCATAATTTAAATGGGTGTTGTTTTATACTGATGTTATTGTTAGATGTCCCAAGGGAAACAAGTGTGCCAATGTTTGGAGGGGCACATATCTTATACCAAATGAATAAACCCATGCATTGTGGCCTCCCACTATGTCTGTCTCTGTGCCTGTGCCCTTTAAGAGTGCCCTGTGGTTGCCTGCTGCTGCCCACGGTGAACCTATGGCTGCGATCTTGTTTTGCACTGTCAGTTATCCCAAGGTGAAAGCAGAGGCATGCTGAAAAAAGGCTCTGAGTGTCCAGCTTAGGAATTTACCTCTTGATTAGGTAAACAAGTAGAGAATGAAATGAGTTAGGCATCTTTGTTTTACTATAAGATAACCGACTGTGTAAATAAGCTCCAGGCTTATGCATTATGCCCTCTGCATAATATATGACGTGTTTTTATTTCCATCTCTTTGTTGAAAATGCTTAGCAGTGTGGGTTCAAGACAAGATTTAAGCCTTTCAAACATTTTACTAAATGGGTAGTGTCAAGAAAGTGAGGGTGTGCTTCTTATGTTAACAGGATGCAAACTTCTATTTACATTTTCAATCTAGCAGAGTCAGTGACTGCGCTCGATTGGAAATGTAAATAGAAGTTTCTCTCTCACACACACAAACAAACACAGCAAGAGGAAAGTAGTCTGTAAGTATTTGACTAGTAGCGGTGGAAGACACAATATTGATCACATTGGTAAGTAGGTTTAATATCTTTTAATATTAAAAACTGCTTTGCTGTTTGAGTAATGAATGTTGTCTGTGCTTTACGCTGAAGATTACAGCTAAATTTTTATTGTCAGTGGGGTAGCAACTGACAAAGCTGCTAGAGCACATTCCCAGCCCAGGTGTGTTGCTAGCTGAACTAAAACTATTAACCTTAATACAATTTTTAAACAATTATTAAGCTAATCAGATGCAAATTAAACAAAATGAACCTATAAATATATGTGTTTTTCAAATTAGTAATTGGATTTTTTGATGATCTTTGGCTTGACATTGATAAGCTGCTTCTCATAACAGTCTAATTAGGCAATATGTAAACTTTGGCATTCGGTTCTGTCCTAGTGGCTTTTTCAAATGATGTTTGTAAAATTTGCAATTTCATATTACAGATTAAAAATTAAAAACTGCAGGAGGCTAACATTAAAATGAGAATTCATTTCAGGGAAAGCCCTGTAGACAAAATTCACCCTAATAGAATTGTGCATAAGGGGCTGCAAATCATGATCTATTGTTACACAGGGGAAGGCTTGTCAAAACCAGTATTGTTGGCCTGTAGTTCTATTCACTGTATTAAACCCATCCGTGAAGTCACTTTGGGGAAAATGTGAACATTATCAAAGAACAGTAAATTAGCAAGAAATTAAAGCATATACCCTTGCATTTCCAAAACAAAAGATCCCTTCATTAAAAACCTTTCATCAGTGGTTTAATATTCATAGCAGTAATTTGCATAACTAAATCAGTTTTCACTGATGAGAGACGACCAAAGTTTTTTCACTAATTTCTTTTTTGAATGAGCTCGCTAGGTTTTTTATTATTAAAATTTTAAACCAGCCATTGAACAAACCTGAATACATGGAGTTGTGCGTGGGTCTTTGCCCCCCTAGCCATATTTGCAAGTTATCATTTGCTGGGAAGGTGGGTGGGAGGGATACCAGATGAAATGTTGCAACTGTGAAGAAAATGGTATTCAATGGCATTAGTCAAATAGCTTTGTTTACTTTAACTCTGCACACACACACACACACACGAACAACAACATATATTTCCTTACATGAAATTCAGGTTTCATAACAAAGATACATTGCAAACTAAGGGTGCTAGCAGTAGTTAACATGCCATTTTTTTCACTCTCCTTTTACCTGCATGAAGAGGAGGAACAACTGTGCTCCTGACAAAACAGTAGTTAAGGCAACTCTTCAGTCTGCATATGGTAAGAACTTTCCAGTCTCGCTGAAAGAGGCATCCTTTCCCATGTTAACCGTTCTGTTTTGAAAAGGTTGGTTCCCTTGTGGAGGAAAAAAAAGAGGGGGAGGAAATTGAAAATGTATTCAACCTTCAGAATACAGTTCCTTAAAAAAAAAGAAAAAGACTTCTTTACAGCCAATACTCTACCTGCCACCTCAAAAAGAAGTGACACTGAATTTGGTGATGTTTACTACCAGGAAAGTGGGTACAGGACTGCAACCTTAATATTTAAAAAACTTGTATTCTATTGGGTGAGGAAATCACAACAGTAGTTACTATAATGATTGCTTTGAAGACATCTTTAGATACAGTTTGAACTGGTTACCCATAATTAACATTTTCAGTGTATATGTTGGCATCTTCATTTTTTTTAAAAAAAGCACAATTTAAAATCAGATATGGAGCAAATGAAATATATATGAAAAGAAAAACACGGAAAATATTGTTATTTCACCAATATTATTTCAGGTGAATGTTTTCGTGCCCATTAAAAATTGACTGGCCAATGCCAGGTGATTGATATTTTTTTCAGGGGAGAGGGAACTTCTTTGACAAACTGTGTATATTATATTTAAAATATATGAAGGTACTAGTAAGGCAGCAGGAGGAAAGCTGTGACCTTCCAGAAGATGATGGACCCTAACTCTCATCAGCTCCAGCTAGCAAAGCCAATGGTTAGGGATGATACGAGCTATAATCCGAAGGGCCACAGATTTTCCATCCCTGACACATGGGATGGTAAAGAAAGGGAAGCATTAACCTAGAAACGTTGGAAGACCCTGCTGGCTGAGGCCAAAGCATCCTGTTCTCACATGTCTACCAGGTCTACTGTGGAAAACCTGTGAGCAAGATTCAAATGAAAGAGTACTCTCCCTTCCTGTGGTTTGCAGCAACTGGTATTCAGAAGCATTGCTGCCTCAGACTGTGGAGGCAGAACATAGCTCTCAAGGCTATGCCATCGCTAGCCCTCTCTTCCCCCAATTTATCTAATACTCTTTTAAAACTATGTGGATTGGTGGCTATCACCCCCTGCTGTGGGAGTGAGTTCCATAGCTGTGTGAAGAAATACTTTTATTTTATCTGTCCTGAATCTCCCACCTTCCACTTCATTGAAGCTGTAGCATTATGAGAGAGCGAGAAATACTTTTCTCTATGCGCTTTCTCCTTGCCACGCATAATTTTTTATAAACTTCTAGAATGTCTCCTCTTACTTGCCTTTTCTCTAAACTAAAAATACCCAGGCACTGCAAACTCCCACAGAGGAGCTGCTCCACCCCCTCGATCGCTTTGGTTGCCCTTTTCTAAATCTTTTCCAACTGTACAATATTGTTTTGGGGGCGAGGTGACCAGATCTGGACTTGTTTGCACCATAGATTAGTATAATGGTACAGTGGAACCTTGGTTCTTGTACTTAATCCATTCTGGAAGTCCATTCAATCCCCAAAACCGTTTGAAAACCAAGGCGTGGCTTCCAACTGTCTGCAGGAACACTTACTTCC